CAATAAAGACTCTGCTTCAGCAGAAGCGGGAACCAATCCTAAAACCCCTTCTTGAAATTCAAAGTCAGAGAGGGTATGACAATATTTTTTATACAAGACATACGATTGTCCTAGGGGTAATTTTCTAGGGGGTATGTCCTCGGGAGGGGGGGGGGGATAATTTTCCGGGGGTTGATTATCCAGAGGGTAATTTTTCTGTTACATGGACATGATGTATAAACCAAAATTTAAATTATGAAAAGTAGGAGGAAATCGATTTATAACCCAAACTTAAATAATTTGTTAAGGAAAACTAGATAATCGTTAATGATTATTGAATTCATTTATCCGCCATAAAAGACGACTTCGATAGTGATTTAAAAGTCTGAATCAGCGTCATTGACAAGTCTTTACTCACTATCGGTATTTGATAGTTATATGTTTTCTACTAAACATGTTGTACTGTAGTTACAATTTTCCTACTGCTTTGAGAAGCATGAGAATCTCTGAGAAGGGAACATTACACTTGAAAATTGTTTATTTCAAATTTGATGAGTTTTGCATCAATTCAAAACACTTTTGATTTTTCGTGTGTCTACTTTAAGTAAGATTTGAAAAGACAAGGAATCAAGTGACTGAAATGTTTTGACTGTCGACTGAAGAGATAAATATCTATATATTTTGATTTAATGTAGCATTTCTTTATTCTATGTTTCTTATATCCATACAGACAAGTTGCATAAGCTACAAGCTGAGCTCAAGCGCAAAGATGAAGAGCTGTAAACAATTCGGTCAAGGGTCAAGACAACGGAACACCTGGTCAAGAAGAAAATCTCCTTCGCTCCGAAGCATTGCTGAGCTGATCCCTGAATACCCAAGTTGCAGCGAGCCACTTTCTTCAGTCGTTGACTACCAATAGGGACTTAACTTGTTGCAGAAGAATGGATAAGGATCCACTTTTTAGGATAAATATAAGGGATCGCTTCCTTTAGTTTTGAATACATTCAAATGTAGCGGTTAAATAGCTCTTCTGATAGTGGATCTCCCTGTTTTTATTTTAAAAGTAGATTTTCTCTCCAAACGAATTGATCTCTAATATGACTCCCCTAAAGTGAATTTCCTTTCCTGTACATAATTGTAAGGGTTAATGGTTTTGGTTTTGGTTTTGGTTCTCATCGCACGTATACATAAAGTGCCACTTAATATTTAGAGGGCTAAGACTTCAATACCACATTTTTGTTGGCCAGAGAATGATTTAATTGCCATTTCTGTGATGTATTAATATCTAATGCATGTCTATGTTGAGTTCATTGTTGTTATTTGTTTCGAGAACATGTAATCATATTTCAATGGTCACCATGCAAATTGCATAGTACGTGTTGTTATTAGGGCTTGTCATGAAGTTTGTTTGACCTAGCAACCACTGACGTTTGCAATATGCATCCTGCCTATTGCTATACAGTTAAATATAATACTAGGTAAACATATTTAATTTTGATTACATTTTGAAGACGTTCTATTGGCCTGACGTTGTAGGAGTTTTCATTGAGGAGTTATTTGACTTTTCAACTGTGATAATGATCATAATTATTATAAGATATATTACGACATATCTGTCCCTAATCATCGAGGATATTTCATGCTATGTGTTCAATAAATGGCACGTTTGATTTTGAATCTTTTCTCTAAACGCCAAGGGCAAAACATGCTTTAATAAACAACTTTTTGTAATACCATGTTTCTAAATCTCAATAACAAATCCAAAGAACAATGTTCATTATAACTAGGAAAGGTTACCCCGTACGCGAACAACAGTTTATCATGTTGTTGCATAAGTATAAGCTGGTGTTATGAATGTGAAACTTAGTACAACCAGTGTAAATAGTAGATAAACAAGCAAAATGCATTATGCATTATCTTCAGATCGAATTCAAATGTGGAGGAACGTATCTCTTCTCAACGTACTAGAATTCCTGATTTTCGATTTCCTTTTTATTTCGTTTGTTTGAACGTAAACGAAATCAGTAATTATTATCAAAAAAAGATGTACATGTATTTATGATCTTATAATCCTTTATGTTTTATGAAATAACTGAAATACCCCGTAATGTAGACAAGCCTTTGCACTTCTGGAGAGTGTTTTATTTTCCACAAAAATGTCTTTTCATGATGAAAATGAAAGAGAACGGTCTTTTTTGTTTTTTATTAGATACCATCAGAGATTACTCTGAGAAGGCTGTGTAATGTTTTTCTTTGTTTTGATTGTTATGCAAGTACAAGTCATTATTTCAATAATATGCCTGCCTGTGTATTTTTCTTTAGTTTCGATTGAAATGAGAATTGTTTTCTGTACTTAATACTAAATAAGATGTTTTAACAGAAATTATCAAAGATATGCAAATAAGCTCTGATGGTTCAGAATTCGTATCTAAATGTGGTGGGGTTTTTTCGGTGGCGTATCCTGACTTTGACCTCAAAGGTTAACATGAAAGAGCTAACGGTAATGCACTTAGTTCAACAAAGGGTGCCTTGCCCCCCCCCCCTTAAAGAGTGCTAAACATCATTGTTTTGCATCTTGTAGTAAGTCTTTGATAATACTTTCCATTGTTATCTTAAAAATGATTAACTACCCTGCAATGCCTGAATAATTAATTCTTTTTTTAATAGGAAAAGCAAATTGCCCCTCTTGCTCCCCCTTCCAATACGCTACTTGTTTATATACTTAAGTAAATGTCGAATAAATTCAGATTTTGCATTTCCGTTTTATCAGGTTGTTCATTTGAGATTGCTAAAGCGAAAAATCATGCCACATGGTTTCTCAAAAAGTATATTTAAAATAATATTCGATATCGGAATACATAAACATTTGTCTGTTGATTGTATCATTATGATAAAGATCCTAATACTTCAAATCTTACAGCAGAATGGGTGATGAATTTCCTCAATTGAATTGTTTGATTAAAATGTGTCGGTCCTGTACTAAATCAAAAAGTAGTTTTGCACGATGATGAGGAAAAAATTATTTATGAGTTCCTACATCTCTGTTTGATTCAATTTTTGCTGCAGAATGACAGAAAATGTTGTACAATTCCAAAACAATTTACATTCAAAAACTAAGGTTCTCCAATATACCCAGGCATTTCACAAAAGTTTACTACACTGTTAATATTTTAAGGAATAAAATGATATGCGGTTACTATCCGATCGAAAGTAGCTAGTCAATAATGGTGTCTTCATTTACATTTTTTGTGCTCAAGGCATGCATGGTTCGTATTTTCATTTAGTTCATGGTGTTTTCAACTGGTCCTAACTGGTACCAGTTGACAACTGGTTCTAGTTGACAACTGGTATTCCGGGCTGGTATTCTAACTGGTACCAGTTGTATTTTTCTTTCTTCCAACATGAATGTAATACAATGTAGAGTATATAAAAGGAACACTTGTAAAATATGTTTATATCCCTTCTAGGAATATTGATGACTTTTCTAAATACATGATTGGTCAATTAGTGGTTTACGTGATAAAAGTATAATTTCACTATTAAACACAAATCACCCTACTCTTGCATGCAGGCCCCGCTGAACGTTTCTCTGATGGGGCTTTCACATATACACTCCGGGGCCCGTACGGCGAGTAAAAACAGACATTTTGGGGAATTTTTTGGTCGTTGTCCGGCCGGCTGCCGTGAAGTTCCTACGGGCGCCGGGACAGTTTTTGAAGCCGTACGGGCTCCGTAGTGCTGAGTTGGCTGCTCCCTAGGCTCCCTAGGCTCCCGGCGTTTTTATCTGACCGTTAGAACGTAGAAAGCCCGTAAGGGCCCGTAGGGCACCTTACAGGTCCCGAGCGGGCTCTGGATTGTGTCCGGACGGCCCCTCACGATTTTGGGGGTGAATTCTCATAACAAATATTTACGGGCACCTTGCGGTGCTCAAGGGTTCCGTACGTGTACCCTACGGCTCCCTCACGGGCCCTTCAACAGCCCCGGTTGATATGCACAACAACAGGCGTCTGCCGTCCGGGGGGCATTTAAAATGAATATTGCACGTGCGGGTCCCTCACAGCGGCATCTCAAAATGTACAACGCAGCTTTAAATACAGGAAGTGCGGGTGCCAGAGGACACATATTTCAGTGCACCGCACGGCACCCGGCCTGGCTCCTTGAAGACCCCGGCAAGGCACCTTCCGGGAGCCATGGGTGCATGCACCTGCTAATCAGACGGAGCCCGTTAGCTTACCGGCCGGGACTAGGCCGGCAACCTGCCCCACCCTTACGGGCGCCTTGCATTCACTCGACAAATTTTCACCGGGCACCTCACATGTGACCACACATGCCGTAGAAATGAAAATCGGAAGGTTCCCGCTAATTTGTAAAATGTTGTCCTGTTTATCCAATCCAATTATTTAAGATTTCCTTGTTAGGTAGCTAATGGATATAATAATATAAATATAATAATACAAATCTCATGTAGTAATACGATGTCATTATTTGATGGATGGAAACAGTATGCACATGTTGATGCTTTATTCAATAGGAATTATCCACTACATGTCTACCATAATTTAATCACGTTTCATTGTAGGAAGGGAGTTTCGATTGTGTCTTCATCGCTGTTTTAAACATTGTATGCATATATGTAATTGCTTTAGTAACATATTAATTCTGAATGTTAATCAAAAGATTAATCATTTGTTGCCATCTGTCGTTATTGTGTTGCAATTTCTCAACTACTTGCGATGTGAAATCGACTCGAAGCCAAGAACTTAAAATGAAATATATTTTAAAGAGTATGAGGAGATATGGAAATGAGCTGGACTTGAAATTCGAAAGATACTTGATTTATAAGTGATTTATCCATGAGCGAAAATGATTTCCTCAGAAGTTACATGATGCTACAAAATATTGATACTGAAGGGGTTGCTGTTAAGCAGAGTGAGTAAAAGAGTTCTAGGGAGAAATATTGTTGAATGAGATGTGTATAATTATTTTCAGACAATGAAAATTCGGGAAGACAATGGAAAAACAGGGAGATTCGTACGGTCACAAAGGTTCGTACAAACGATGCGGTCGTATACGAATCTCCCTTTTTTCCATTGTCTTTCCGAATTAATGCTACGGTCGTAGCGTTTCCCTCTGAGCGCGAAGCGGACTTCGAGTGTTATCTTCTCCATAACTCGCTCGTCGTCATTGATGACCGTTCCTCTTCTTCCTTCGCGAGGAAAAGGAGGAGGGAAACGCATTCTGAGTGGTTAGATTTTTTTAATGAAATAAAAAGTAAGATAACATGTTGAAAGACACAATTAGTGAGCACTGATTTTTTTTTTTTGGTGCTCAACTAGGGGGGAGATGGGGATAGAGCCCACTTTTTTTTTTTAAAGGTAAAATTTATGCGTTTTTATCTGTTTTTTGTTGTTGTTGCCAGGGCCTCGACCCCCCCCCCCCCCCCCCCCCCCTGGATCCGCCACTGCATCATATATACCCATATCTGTGTGCAGTTTATGTGTTTTTCATTATGATTGAGTAGATTTGTTATCAATTCCGAAACCTTATAGTATACACCAAATACACTACATAACTAACTGGAGCCTGGCGAAAATTATTGTTACCTCCGACATTTTTATCTCTTCACATTTTTACACCATATCAATCGACCTTTCACAAATTCGTCGCTGTTTTCACGAAGTGACGGTAGTGAATAAAATTGCATTCACTTTGCGTTACGATTTTCCTCACTACCGTCACTTCGTGAAAACAAGGACGATTATTGCTTCCACAATCCAGGCAGTTACTGTCACAACAAATTTGAACGAGCAGAATTTAATTTATCTTCTCTTTCTGTGGATAACTTGCTTTTCACGTTAGAGCCCAGGGTCCCATTTCACAAAACTTTGTCATCAGTGACAAATGACAGTTTTTTTTATAAGCTACTAAAATCCTTGCTTCTGATTGGTTATCAGCAGATTTTTCACTGAATTTTGTCATTTGTCATTAAAAAAAAAAAGGCTTCGTGCAACGGTTCCCAGAACATGTCAAAGAACACTGAAGACCACAACAGACCAATACAAACAACATACAGAAACAAACGATAATACATATATACACTAGCAAAAACATATACATATACCCTCCCTAATTGTTAATGAAGAGAAAAAGAAGAAAATACAAAACAAAACACTCACAATATAGTATGACAAAACAAACTTATATAGTTCTTTATTATACAACAGTTGTATGTATATCATGTATTTTTCTTAAAAAAGGAAATAAATGGCAGCACCAAAGTAAAACGTGAAGACGTAGTAAAATGAACTTTACATAGACATCAGCATTGCATTGGAAGGTGTTATGAAGTGAAGACTTAAGAATAAGGCAGTCAAGGTGATACTTTCATTTTTAGGACAGCAGTTAGACAGAAATACTGTAAGTACTGGAAGTATTATTGTAAAATGTAACTATAACTTCAAAAATAAATAACTATAGCTATCACTATAACCATGTTACAAATAACATGCCAAATATACTTGTATAAAAAAGTGATGAATAATACTGTGACTGTTAATGCTCCTTCTATTACAACAATACCATAGTACTGAAGTTATTGCAATGTCTGCACGTTTCTTTTGACTATTGTACTAGAAATACTAATATAAATGTTGCTGTTGCTGCTACTACTACTCCTACTTCTACTACTACTACTACTCTTACTTCTACAATACTGATACTACTAATACTGCTACTACTACTACTACTACTACTTCTATACTACTCCTACAAAAACATCAACAAGAAGTACTACTCTTACTTCTACAATACTTATACTACTACTACTACTACTACTACTCTTACTTCTACTACTGCTATTACTTGTACAAGAACTTCTACTACCATCACAATTACTACTACCACTTCTATTACTCGTAATACTACTACTTCCACTTCTGTTACTACAAATATAGTCAAACCTGCTTTAGTGACCACCTGTCTACAAAGACCACCAGTCTACAAAGACCACCTGTCTACAAAGACCTTTTTTTTTCCCCTTGCAAACGGTTTCTCATTGAAACATGTACCAAAGGAATCTGTCAACAAAGACCACTTTTTTTCTGTAACATCAACCTCTTCTACTACTACTTTGAATACTGTACTTTTTGCTACTCTCCCTACCCCAAATTACTCTACACAATATGCATCAACAGATAGTATAATGTCAGCACAATGTGAGAATGATAAAAATATTTTGTACAAACTGTACCTTCACCTCTTGCAGATCTGCAATTTGTAAACTGCTTTAGGCATTGTCAAAATGGGTAGAGAAAGACAAAGATGTTGTGGTTTTAATCTCTATTTCTATTTCTGCCAATGCAACTGCAAAATAGTGAAAACATACTCTTCTAATTTCAAGATACTTGTACCGGTATATAAAAAAATGGCAAGAGGTGCAAATTCCTGAGAGCATATAAAACAGCCAGGCCTCGTATATTAAAGCAGTCGATATGTCTTTTATATGCCGAATTGAAACAAAAATCTACTAAAAATTCTTACCTTATCCTTTTATTGAGTAAAGATTGGTTAAAACACCACAGAAAATCTGAGAAACTGTCTGTTTATCTTCCCTTGAAAAATGACTGAAAGTGTCAATCATTTCGGAATTGCAGACAAAAAGCACTGTACGGTGTCCGCGCTCGCACAAAGAAAATTTTACCACGTAAACCAATGGGGATCTGAGCACAATTGATTTATACGGCCTTTTACCCGGGGCAACAGATATCACTCATGAACTATTGACCATTTGTTTGTCTCTTTAAGGGATTATCCAAAATCACGACTGCAATTCAGACCAATCAGATGGCTAGATTTCTAAAGAGAGGTATAAAATTATAAATACATATGTCATATAAGTGAAAGACAATGTGAGAGAAAATCTGTGTACCCCCTCTAACCTTTCAGTCTTTTAAACTTGTGCTCCACAAGATGTACTATCTTGCTTGAAAGTTGCACTACATTTGACCCCCCCAAAAAAAAAAATAAATAAATAAATAAAAAAATAACAATAATAATAATAATAATAATAATAATAATAACAAAATTTTTTAAAAAGGTAAGAAATCCTCAAAGACTTTCTGTCTTTGAACCAAGCTGAAATGAAAGCTAAATGTCATCAGATATAATAATAACAACTTTCATAAATACTGCATTTACACATAAAATATGTTTCCATTAACACCTAGGAGAATGCATAAAGTAATAATGTATTCAACAACAAAAGGTACATATTTTTGCTGTTACAGCTTTCGAAATGGCATTAAATAATACTGTATTTGTTTTCTTCTTAATCTTCTCAAGTCATAATCATTTTTAAAATGAATGTATGCTATTCTTAGATGCAACCTTAGTGAAACATAACATAAGAGGTAAATTGTACTTTGCAGATCACACTCCTTATACTGGGACAAGCACATTCACTTTGGGGTGACAAAGGCAATGAACCTCATGACTTTTAGTACTAGCCTATATAAAACAGAACTTATATATATGAAAGTCCAAGACAATGATTTTGCAGACACATGCCATTACTTTGAAAAAATGTATATTCAATTAAAGAGAAATCCAACCTTGACAGCAAACTACTCTAGACGAGAGCAAGAAAATTAGAGAAGTAGACTGATGAAAGTTTGAAGGAATCGGACATAATTGAGAAAGCTTTGAATTGTTTAAAACTGTACTCACTATAGGTATGTGATCTTCAAATTGGCTGGGTCAGTATCGTCTCTGTCATGTAGTGGGGGACAACTTTCCCATTTGTTCTAGCATATAAAATGACTAAAAATGTATGGCTCAAGAAGTTTTGTTTCTATTTAGAGGACCTAAAATGATATGCTATCCATAATATATTCATTGCCCTAAGGGAGAAGGCCAAAAAAAATGAATGATATTTTTGTACACCACAAATGGGAGAGTTATCCACAACTCTGTCTCAATCCACTGACCAAACTGCAAGAATTGTGGACTCTTCTTTACAATTCAAGCAATGGTTTCTGGGCAGATGATGGCGAATCTTATTGGGCGTCAACAACCGATGCTATTGGATTCTTGCACACTTCATATACAACCTAAGTAATGGGTTCTGAGCAGATGATGGCGACTGTTAATGGGCATCAACAACCGATGCTATTGGATTCCTGCACACTTCATATACAACCTAAGCAATAGCTTCTGGGCAGAAGATGGTGACTGTTATTGGGCATCAACAACCGATAACACTGGAATCTTGGACTCTTCTTTACAATTCAAGCAATGGGTTCTGGGCAGATGATGGCGAATCTTGTCGGGCATCAAGAACCGATGCTATTGGATTCTGCACTCTTCATATACAACCTAAGCAATGGGTTCTGGGCAGATGATGGCGAATCTTATTGGGCATCAAGAACCTATGCTATTGGATTCCTGGACTCTTCATATACAACCTAAGCAATGGGTTCTGGGCAGATGATGGCAAATCTTATCGGGCGTCAACAACCAATGCTATTGGATTCTTGCACTCTTCATATACGACCTAAGCAATGGGTTCTGGGCAGATGATGGCGAATCTTATTGGGCATCAAGAACCTATGCTATTGGATTCCTGGACTCTTCATATACAACCTAAGCAATGGGTTCTGGGCAGATGATGGCAAATCTTATCGGGCGTCAACAACCAATGCTATTGGATTCCTGCACTCTTCATATACAACTAATAAGCAATGGGTTCTGGGCAGATGATGGCGAATGTTATCGGGCATCTACAACCAATGCTATTGGATTCTGCACTCTTCATATACAACCTAAGCAATGGGTTCTGGGCAGATGATGGCAAATCTTATCGGGCGTCAACAACCGATGCTATTGGATTCCTGCACTCTTCATATACAACTAATAAGCAATGGGTTCTGGGCAGATGATGGCAACTGTTATCGGGCATCTACAACCAATGCTATTGGATTCCTGGACTCTTCATATACAACCTAAGCAAGAGTTCTGGAAAGACGATGGCGACTGTTATTGGGCATCAACAACCGATGCTATTGGCTCGCTGCAATTTGGGCATTCAGGGATCAGCTCAGCAATGCTTCGGAAGACATCATGACCACAAGCGAAGGAGATTTTCTTCTTGACCAGGTGTTCCAGTGTCTTGACCCTCAACCGAAGCACTTTCAGCTGGTCATCTTTGTGCTGGAGTTCAGCTTGTAGTCGATTACACTCATCTAAGGGAACAAAATAGAAATGAGATGAACTTTACATGAATAATTAAAACTAAAAAAAGGTTTGCAGTGTTAGTGGGTAAAATATAGATTACTGTGGTGGTGTCATGACTTTTTATTACACTAACGGTAACCCATTCAGAATCAATGCATTTTCAAGACATACACGTACCTCGTTCTTAACAAAAAAGTTATACATCACTAATTAGTTTCTTATATTACTGTATATTCACACAGTTGTGAATGTCTCAAACATAAAATGTTTAATACAAGACATACAGATTTTATTTATGTTGCAAATTCCCAAAACAGTATAAAAAAGATTTATCAATCTGGACAGATATTTCCTATTTGAATTGTCTTTTCTTTGGGGGGGGGGGGGGGAGGTTGGTTGGTGGGTTTAGATAATGGATCTATATATCTCTATGACTATTAAGAAAGTAAGTATGATTGGTAAATCAAACCTGTGTCTGAAGGTTTACTATGGGATTTTTGTGCACTGCTGTCCCCTGCTCCTTTCTCACAAGCATTTGTGGTTTCTTTCCCCACTGATTTCTGCTGGCTTCCAGAACTCGTAGACGACTTCCCCGAGGAGTTTCTTGCACTTTTTCTCTTCGCTCCTGGTCTAGGAGAGCTTGTTGATGACTTCTCTGAAGACATTCTTGCACTCTGTGTCTTTGCAACTGGTCTGGCAGAACTTGTTGACGACTTCTCTGAAGATTTCCTTGCGCTTTGTGTCTTCATCTCTGGTGTAGCTGTACATTTCTTCAAGTCAGAAAACTCATGCTCGGCCTCAGCAACAGTGCCTGGGCAGTGCTTGGTCAGAATGCGCAGGGGGCAGTTGGCTGTGCTCTGCTGTCTGGCGATGTCTTTCCTGAGAGTATTTGAGAGGTTGTAATAACTTTTGTTCAATACGTTCACATCTTAGGCTCAAAGTCATCCAGCATGCATTTTGGTTCTATAACATTTTAAAACTGAAGCATACTAATGCGTGTTCAAAACTAATGATACTCTATCACTTGAAATGGATATTAAATCTTTAAAGTAAATGATAGGATGCAGATTTCAGTTGTTACCATGTCAGGCATTCCCAAGGGTCACTACAAGCACCTATGTATGAAATTTGAATACATTTAAGACCAGGGCCAAGTCTTGTAAACAATTCACAATTGAACTAATTATTTGATACCAATTGCAACACTGTTCATAAGAGATAGGCAATCGTAAATTTGCGATTGATTGGAGGGACATTTAATCAAATCAGATCCATATCCAGCACTGGATCTGGAAGTGTATAGTGATTCATTGGCGTGAATCTAAAACCCAGGGTTGAGGGTTCAAATCCCAGCCTGACACTAACATCCTTTGGCAACACATTAATCCACATTTACCCATCTTCACCCAAGTGTAAATGGGTACCATCTAACTGCTGGGGTAATAATCACTGCAGGGCTCTCGAGAAGAGCAGTATTCATATGGATATAGCTACCCTCGATAAAACTGGGGAGTGTTTCACAAAGACTAAGATTGTCTTTAAGTTGGACTTAACTATGGCAGGCTGTTCATGCCATTGTTTACTTTCAACATTTACTGGCATTGGCCTCTGAAAGGACTTACAAATCGCGGTCACAAGTCTACAGAATTTACCTGTTTTGATATTTCATTATTGAAGGAAAAAAAATTATCTAAAGATCATAATTGAGAGACCCATGGTGAGAGCAATTAGTGGCATGAATGGCCTGCCATAGTTAAGTCCAACTTAAAGTCTATCTTAGTCTTTGTGAAACACCCCCCAGACCTCATTATTATATCATCATTATTCAAGACGATTCATGCTCATACCTTGTTAGAGATTGTATGTGATCCAGAGAACGCAAGATGTCATCTTCGGCCTTCAGTTGAAGTGACTTCCGTATCGTGATTTTATCACAGTTGTACACATCCAGGTCACCACCATGAGACACAAGATAGGCAAGAAGGGCATCTCCATTTGTCTTGATACCAACATGTCCCCACTTCTTCTTCATCTGTTTGCAAGGCAATGATAATAATAATAATAATAGCTAGTTCTTATATAGCGCTTTTAAGGACCGAAGGCCCTCTCAACGCGATTTACAGATATATATATTATAACCTTGTTCATCGGATTTAGGCTTACCCGCACACACAATGTATGCACGTTCTCCACTCCCTGGGGAGCATTCCAGTCAGGCATTATTTTTACAAGCGCATACTTTCGAATCCTACCAGGTACCCATTTAATAACAAAGGTGAATTTTGAAAATAAGAATCACAATAATCATGATCATATTATTAAACCATGGTAACATGAATAGGAACAGCAAGTTCAAGAAGAACAAAACTAACAAGAAGTAGTAGAAGAAGAATGAGGAGAAGAAGTAGACGAACAACGACTAGGATAAAAGCAACAAATCTACTAATTAATGATGATGATAATGGTGATGAAGATGATGCTGCTGATAATAATAATAACTATCGTATTACTACTACTGCTACTACTGCTACTACAACAAATACTAATGATAATGAAAGTAATTAAAAGAACAATAATACTAGTGATAATGTTTTTTTACATTGTGCCTTAACAGTAACAAGTCACAAACCTCTGACATAAAGGGTTCCTCTTTGATACATCTTTCGTCAATTTCGATGGAATCGATAACGTCAAAGGCCATCTTTAAACAGGAGTCCCCAGAACGGATGGTGATGTTGGCATTGGCACCATTCTTCATCAAGACTTCAATCAAGTGGAAGTTCTCTTTGTATAAGGCATGATGAAGCGGACTTGTTCGATCTCCGGTTGTCTGGGCATTCACATTGCAGTGGCCCTGTTGGAACGAAAGATAACCAAGTAATTTCCAGGCTGTACCTGCTCCTAAGTTGTATCTTCAAGCCTCGATCTTACCCTAACAAACCCTGAAACCTATCCCCACACCTAATCTATAACCAAAGTGAAACAATTACCTTAACCCTCAATCTTTGATGGAATATATCCCAGGGCAATTGTCACCGGAATGTTCGCTGATGCACTGATTTCAAGCTAATATCAGGTAAAAATCAAGAACGGGTAGGCTTAAGAAAGACCATCGCTTCCATGACGGCATATGTAATGTGTCATCACAAAATCTTAAGTTGACAGATATCATTTCTATTGACTAGCATTTCAATACTCTTAAATTTTTAAGCTCTACACCTTGCAAGGTTGATACGTGCGCTTTATAAGAATCCAATATTATTATTATTATTATAACATACTTGTGCTCAGAATATATATTAATAATAATAATAATTTTTTAAAGTCTACCGGTACTCCAAATTTTATTTAAGTTAAACCGAAAATGGAAATTCTTTTTGCCCAATTGATCGTGAGCCCGGCAGCCACTGAGCAGCGCCAGATCGACGTTGCTCTATCCCTGATTGTTGAATGCCAAACATCTTTTAATGCAGTGAAAAAGGATTTTAGAAGAAAATCTGCCTTAATGGAGAGCAGTCAAGCACCTTGTAAAGTGTGCAGTCAAGGTCTTTTGGGTGATGCTCCACATATAAGGCTATTGATGAAATTTGAATGATATTTTACAAAGCCCTACCTTTTTGATGAGTACTTCAGTTGCTTTCAGGGAGCTTGCATACCCGGCACAGAAGATGGGAGTATTTCCATTGCATGTCTGTGCTTCAACCAACCTAGGGGCTTTCTCCATGAGCTTTGTAAGGGCACTGTAACCATGGCAACCAATTGAAAATGGGGGAAAAGGAGTTAAGTTTCAAGGTCACGAGGAGGAGGAGGGGGGGGGCCGGGGGCAGGCAAATTATATCACATATATAAAAAAAGAGTTCTTCTTCTTCTTCCTTTTTGAGTACAGACCTCTTTACAGAGTATTATTGTACTATACTGGGGGTGTGTGCAGGTGAACCACTACACCGGGGTTTCCCCCTACTCTTATACGAATAGTGCAGTGGGTTCTTAACGTGCAAAGGTAGTGACTCTTCTCTACACTGGGCCTCCAGTTAACGTCCTATCCATGACACGTCCCACAAGTGTATAGCTGTGACAGTTATGACGTTCATGGTAGAGACACCTTTATCAGAGGCGACTTCCAGATTAAAGCTAGCTGACAGTTTTCCAATCGCCAAATGAAGCTCTTTTCTTAATCTGCCTGGTATAAAGTGTCTGACAAAAAACATATAGGCATTTTGAAAATGAGACGATTTGGGCAGGTATGGGATGATCTAATTCCAGTAAAATATAAGAATTAGCTGTCAAAATAAACCAACTAGAGGCTGTCATACTTCCAATTTCTCTCCTATTTTGATCATATTTAATGAAAATTCAATTTTGTTTTGTTCAACTGTTTTCTCTTTGGTCAAATTTTTTTCAGCGGATATCAAGTGGTTATGTGGTGGTTATTTTACCTGACTGCTAAGAAAGCATGAATGCTTGTGAGTAAGCAACCAGACGGCCGACGGCTTTAGGGCCTCTAGGAGGGACCTGGTAATGAGGATTAATGCCTTACCAAAGGTCACTAGCGCATCGACTTGGTTTCGAAGTAAATCAAAGTTTAGACTCTTACCACACCTGTGAAACATTTCAATCACACATTGCTCCAACAAAATATATGTTTATGACTATCACTGTAATAGCATGATTCAAATACTCTAAATAAATCTAAGAATTATCATATGGAACTATCAACACTTTTGTAAAGGAACTTTTTGTTTAACTTAAGCATGGTAAAAGAATGGTACTGAAACGAGGGACAGAAACTTTCATTCATAAAACTGAATATATTCAGATTTTTAAGTATCATTTACAGAAAGGGTAATATCCATTTCCTACAACTTTTGTACACACAGATGTATGATATAAGACATGGCTATAGAAATATATTAGTGTTTGAAAAGTAGCCATTATTTGTGTTTGATAAACAGGTAACATCCTTTGGCAAAGCAAGAGTTTGGACTAAAATACCACAGATTATATTTCCTCAATAAAGCTCTAGAAAATAAATAAAGGGAAGGATAGACTGCACTCACTATGTGTTGGCTCCGTTGGCGGCATAGTGCATTGTAGACATGTGTAATGATGTCGACACCGCCTTCAAATCTACTTCCTTTCGGGCCAGAATGAGGTCCAGTATGGTCCTACCTCCGTTCAGTATGGCCCGATTTATCGGTAGAAAATCATTGTTCGACTGTAATAATGATAATAACAATATTAAAAAACATCATCAACGTTCAAATCTTCCTTGACAAAGACAATTTACAATAGCAGTCCACAACCACCTTTCTGAGCTTTATGAGCAAAAAGCCAATCCTCTTTCTCTCTGTGCGCAATTACCAACATCGCACCGTACCCTGTCTGTTAAAGGTATAGACCAGTTTGCCGGGAAACTGCATACTAATTGATTTATTTGGTAAATTATCATATCGATCCGGCCTGGATAGATATCGCAAATGCACTTCAACATTAAACATTTGGGCATATATTTCTGCTTTTTTGCAAATTTAGTTTGAAATATTGCCATCTAAACCTCTGAAGGCAATATTTAAACAATATTGAATGGATATTTAGCATCCAAAACCCTTGAACCGCAATTTTACCACTACCGGTCTTTACCTTTAATAATAGTTTTAGGGATTTTGGACACCGATCAAGAAGGAGAAGTCACATGATAATTGCATTCAGTGAATTACCTCATACCAGGTAGGCTTACCAAGTACTATACCTGGGTTGTGAGCAGCTAATGTAGATTAATGTCTTTGAAGGTACTTTGTCTCATTTGCAGGTCAAAAAAACGAAAAATGTTAAATTCCAACAGCATTTGAAAGATAATATTAATTAACGGTGTATAAACCGCCCTCGTGTATTAATCGCACTCCTCTTTTTCGCCCTAAAAAAACAAAACAAAAAATTAAAAAAAATAAAAATTACGCATTCTTACGCATTTTTTTTGGCCGAATCTGGCGGCAGCAAACCAGGCCTTTCATTTAACTGCGAGGTGCAGCTGAATGTGTGAGATCATTAATGTAAATTTAAAAAAAGTAGAGGACCTAGGATAGAACTTGGTGGTACGCCTTGTAATAGAAGAAAAATTGGAGGAATTATTATTATAAACTACATATTGAGATCTATCGGAAAGATTACTTTCAAACCAAGATGACAGACAAATTTGAGTGTTGTTCTAGTTTCCAAGTGGTGAGTCAACACACCGATTACTGAGCTGGGAGACATTGCCAGGCATAGCACCAGGTGGAGGGGCATAAATCGAAACTTTAATTTTTTTTTTTTTTTTTTTGGGGGGGGGGGGGGGTGTACCGTGTATAAGACGCACCCCCGACTTTGAATTTTTTTCGGCGGCAAAAAAGTGCAGTTAATACACTGTCAATTACAGTAAAAGTTTCCTAAAAAGAAGGGCTTGAAAATGTCTTTAATTGGGGAAATAACGACCATTAGTTGTAGAATCGACTTAAGTGATTGCAATCCAGTAAGTAATAATCTGATTTTAAGACCATTGTACTGAATGTTTGTACGTTTTATGCTGCGTAAAGATTCAATTTTGGCCATTACAAGAAGTGGTTTATTGATGTAGACAAATGCTCATGTACCCTTTTTAGCTCAATTTCTGTATGTTATTACCAAAGAAAAAAAAGAAGTCACTCAGTAACTCAATAGTGTCTGACAGTTAAGTCTAGAAAGTAAACAGGTTTCCTTGCATGATTTGAATATTAGGACACTGCTAACATTCAAATTGTACAGATAGGACATAAGTGACATATTCATAATCCCTGCAAAATTCTACAGAATTTGATATTGGCTGCAAATGAGACATACACATGTAGTACCTTTAAATACAAATTATGTGTTGCAAGGGTTGAGTGATTATACATTACCGGTACTGTGAATTCAGGCTACTGCCTACTGCACATGAAATGCCTGCTAAATTAAACATCAACTTAGACAGAGCATGCCTGAAATGTCCAGTTTTAGGAATACTGTAGGATTAGGGAAGGGGGCATGATAGCCCCCCCCCCCCCTGGAATTTTAAGATTATTGTCTAAAGGCTCGTTCATATATAATGCAGTAAACTGTTATACCACTTATATGCATGTTAGACGATACAGACACGTCAAGTTCATTTGACAGTATTTTGGGCCGGCAGTTTACGGTTGGCTTGAAATGTTCAGTTTTACAAATACCGTAGGATTAGGGAAAGGGCCATGATAGCCCCCCCCCCCCCCCCTGCAATTTTAAAATTAATGTCTAAAGGCTTACATCACTTATATGCGATACAGACACGACAAGCTCTTTTACGGTGGGCATATGCGAAGATTCAACAATATAAAAATAATTGTATAAATATATAAATATCATTTTAAAAGATTAAAATAGAAATATATCCTACCCTGATGTTCACATCTGCTCCGTGCATAAGAAGGTAATGCGCACACTCAAAGGACCCATGGTCACAGGCGACGACAAAGCTGGTCAGACCTTCAAAGTTCGCTGAATGAACATCGGCCCCTTGCTCGAGGAGGAACCGCACACCCTCATAGCTGTTGCTTTATGTTGGAAGAGTTTCATTCACAGAGAGAGTGCAGGTGTGATGTGGCATTTGGTATGTTGCGGGAATATGGGGGAAATGTGATTAGAAAAAAGATGATGGTAATTAACTACATTAATAAAATTGAATTTTCAATACACCTCTATGTTCAATTAATTCCCTATTGATGGAAAAACTATATAGAATACATATGATAAATATTTATCTTATTTATTGATAAACAAGATACACTGAAATATATATCAATACAGAGATTTGGAAATCGATCCAAACGATAGTTCGATAAAGAGTCTTGGTTGATTAGGCATTTGAATATGCATACTTTTACTCCTATACAAAGATCTCCAATGTCTATCTCAATTTTTTTGCTCTATGGTTGTCACAGGCGTTTCTTTTGATGTTTCTTTGCGTAGTACTTTCCTCTTGTGTGACTGGGTCCATGTGTCCCAATGTGCTACAACTTCTGTAAACAATACTTAGCTTCACACAATTTAATTGATCTGGAAAAATTCATACAATAATATCAGAAAATATAATCAGATGCAAGCCAACACATACTGCTGGTACATGTACATCAATTAACAGCAGCTACCACTGATTTTCATGGTACTGATTATATACCTCACTTAAGAAATCCAGCCATCTGATTGGTCGAATTGCATTCATAAACTTCAACTGTTCCTGTAAAATTCCCGGTAACCATGCTTAAAACATTTCAATATTTTTAATAACCATGGTTATTAAAAAAATAGGTCAGTCTCCATGGTTACCCCATAGGTTTACATGTTAAAAAATGGTTTGAGCGATGGAGGATACCATACGTGTGCGAAAAATTGGTCGGCAATTTCAATACAATTGAATCTCAATCGATCTTACCGACAATTTTATCTTGCATTGTTGACATGAAGACGAAAATTAACTCTCAAAAACAAAAAAACAACATCTGCCGATAGATCTTGATCTAAGTTCGTGCCAATATGCATTGCAAAAGTAAAAGAAGGGTCCGTTTCATGGAGCTTTTGCGAAGCATCCCTCACGCGGAGCCGTTTTCAATCCATTTTAATGTATATATTGGAGAAAACTGCCAAGCATGTTAACGGCGCGCGATAGCCGAGTGGTCTAAGCGTTGGTTTTCGATACACCTCTTGTTGTACGCAAGAGTTCGAATCCCGTCTTCGACAAAAATGTAAATTATTTTTTATTTTTTATTTTTTAGTCAATTTTTTTCGGCATATAAAAGTATTAATGACTGCTTTAATATTCGAGAAATAGTTGTTTTCATACGCTCAAGGGAAGGTTACAATAGCACAATTCTAACCTTCCCTTGAGCGTAATAAAACAACTATTTCTCTCAAAGCAGTCATTAATACTATACTATTGGCTAACAGGATTATTAATTAAAATCCTTCTGTGATAATAAACATAAAGATGTCTTACGCATCATTTGCAAGGAAGAGAGGTGTGCGGCCTTCCTCGTCGTAGCTCTCAATGAAGCACCCTTTCTCAACCAGAAACTTCATCATGGGCACGTTTTTGATGGCTAGCGTAAGAAGCGATCTGCCCGGCCTGGGCTCATGATGCACCTTTATAAAGAGTAAATAAACGATACAGTCAAACCTGTGTAGAAAGGAAAGTGGTCCTTATAGAGAAGTTCACTTTAGCACATGTTCAAATGAGACGCATCTTTTTGAGGGAAACTAAAAATTTGTTTTTTACAGACAGGTGGTCTTTCTATCAGTTCCAATGATAATGCAATCACAAGCTATTTTTGCATACATCAGCCCCATGACCTTTGACCTCATGACCCCAAAATCTACTCAGTTCAATGGCTCTGCAAGATACATACATGTCTTGAGTTTGAGGATAATCCATCTATCGGTTCCAATGATAATGCGATCACAAGCTAATTTTGCATACATAATGAGCCCCATGACCTTTGACCTCATGACACCAAAATTTTAATCAGTTCATTGGCTCTGCAAGATACGTTCATGTACCGAGTTTGATGGTAATCTGTCCATCGGTTCTAATGATAATGTGATCACTAGCTATTTTTGCATACATAATGAGCCCTGTGACCTTTGACCCCAAAGTCTAATCAGCTCATTAGCTCTGCACGGACAACCCGAAAACATAATGCCTCCGGCTGCTTTGTAACAGAGGCACTAAAATAATCAAAGTACTCTATTCTTGCAGAATATTGTTTAATCAGCAAATATTCAATCTTCATGATCAGCACTTTTTAGCGAAATTTCTATAATTTGTACACAGTCAACATGAATGGATACCACCAGGAGTTGCCAATTGATACTAACCAATTCTGGATGTTTCTTTAACATACGCTTAACGAGAGGGATATCACCGGATGCTACAGCCCTTTCAATCTCCCATGCAGGTTTGCTCAATTGGAGAGCCATATCTAAGACACAGAAAAAAAATTGTACGTATAAAATATCCCATCAAGTATTGCATTTTTGAAGCACAGATTCCACTATTTTTTAAATAATCAGGACAAAACAAAATTTATATGTACCGTAAAAGGTTTCCAATCATAAATATCTTGATAATCAGACAGGCGATCGGGTAGTAAAAGTCTTGGGGTTCATGACTGACCTAAAGGTTTATAATTATTATTGCAGCATGAGCTAAATCCAGGATTCTGTTTCAGAATCTGAGACAAAGATACCCAATCTCTTTAAAGGAAAAGAATTAATTTTGCATATTGTTGTCATTTTATTTTCAAAAGTGGATATAACACATAACTGTACATGTATTCTTACCACATTCCTCAGCCATGGATCTTACTTTCGGCCGATCAAAGGGGATTCTTGCAGGAACCAGGTTTGCTGAGCTGAAGACGTAGGTTTGGTGTTTAGTTTTGACGTGAATGTCTGATCCCTCGATCTTAACAATCTTCCCAACTTTCCCGATTACCTGTGAAAACAAACAAACAGAAAACCAACCCACTGCTATTAATTGGAATCAAACATACCCTGGTATAGCACTTATATCCTCTGGCAAGGCCTTAATTATCATTTGCCACTTTCCATCCAGATGAAATTAATGGGTGAAGTGAATGCGATTTAATAGGACACATACCAGTAGTAAATGCAGATTATAAACAAAGGAATATATGTAGCCAATCAACAACCATCTATTGCCTTCCTTGATTGTAGCTTTCTCAATCAGGCATCGTTCCATGAAACCGTCATTTGAACAAGTTAACCAGTATCCCACTGAAGTACACCTGTATGTTTCAATGGGATGTTGGAAAACCTGCATTTGCATGCCTGCCCAATGAAAAAGATCCCAGATAGGGGAAAGAGGAATGTTGACAAACAGAAACATTCTTTAATAACAAATTTACAGCTTTTTGCTAAGCCACCGGTAGGTCACCTGTTTCATAGTTGGTTTCCACCCTCCGTGTCCAAACTGTAATCTCTTGACCATCTCGATGTCATCACTGATGCGGACAAGCTGACCAAGACAGAAACGATGAAGCTAGAGGAGGATAAGAAAGAGAGCTTAGAAAAGTGTATCATCTTTGAATGGAGAGTAAAGACACTTTATTGTATTTACTAAATCATTTGCTGATTTGAATGGCAAATACAATTAAAAACAAATACAGATTAAATATCAATTGTAGTTCAGAGACTAAATTTCTGATAGTGAAAACAATCAATAATTACAATATTTGTTTTTATTGAAACTATTTTGATCTAAGAGAGGATAAACCAAAATAACAAAAATTTCACCTAAATTTCTGTTCAAGCATTCACTTTTTAATTTAAGGTATACATACTAAGCATAGACAGTGCAACAGTTATCAAAACATCACAATCGAATGTACACGTATTTTTGTAAGCGTTCTTAGATTATGATTAACAGCTATTTGTGTGTTCTTTTCTGTGCATTATTTATAAAAAGAAATCAGATAAATCAATGGAAGTCATTGTGATTCTGTCATTGTTACCTTTCTTAGAGCTGCAGAATTCATAGTGAAGGTTTCTTGGCTGTCATGGAAAGTCACAGTGAAGTCCCCAGTGTTCGTTCTCTTATTCACAAAGCCTTTTCTGCCACATGTCTATGTATCAAAGGAAAGTCATTGAAACTGATTTGAATATCACAATGTTAACAAGATATATGATTTTCAACTCACTTTAGGTGAACTCATCAGCATATTTAGAAAAACTAACATTTCTTATAAATATAACAAGGTAGTATACCATGTGGTTGTGTTACTTTTCAAACACACTATAGTGAATGATGATGTAAAGGCCTGGAATGGTCCAGAAGAAAAAGGTAACTTTCAGAAGAAAATGGTAACTTTCAGAAAACAGTTGTTTTTCAGAAGGTGGCAGCGGTGGGATGTAAGGTCACAAAATTTAACAAATTAAACTAATTCTCCAATTCTTTATTAAAATGTTTACACTCTATCTGATTGTAAATTATAGTTGATATTGTATGTGTTTGTATTTGTAGACCTTTGGTCCAGTTTATTGCTTCCTACGGGGAAAGTAAATTTTACTTCCAGGTCATGATATAACATACAGTGATCTATAGAAGTGTGAACAGAATATGCAGCTATTCAGGTGTCGTGGTCGAGTGGATACGTCACCGGGCTGTCGATCACAAGGACCGTGGATCGAGTCCCGCCGCGGCACTAATGTCCTTTGGCAAGACATTGATCTACATTTGCCACACTCAACCCAGGGGATGTAAATGGGTACCTGGCAGGAGTTAATTCCTTGAAATACTAGAGCGCTGTAATGGCAGCCCTGCTAAAGCCAGGGTAATAATCGGGAGCACCAGGAGTGTCAAGTCTGGCAGACATGAGCGCTATACAAGAACCCACTATTATTATTATTATTACAGCATTATGGTGAAAACTTCTTATGCTTATCCATCAACATGATAAAAAATAAAAAAATACTTAAGATGTACGCTTACTTTGACCATGTCAGGATCCCACAATCCTCTGCGTTCATGAAGTTCTTTCATTTCGGGCGGAGTTGCAGTTACGACTACTTTGTCTCCTTCATCAACTGTCTCCAGTTCTCCTGCACATAAACAGAGCAATGCCAATTCAATAAGTTTGTTCTTTGTATTGCAGCTATATTTTCATTTGCCATAACATTCTTTCCATTTGTTTGTTATAATGATTTAACCAATTCCCAGTATGAGGGTTTCTAGCCAAGTTCCTGCCTATAGAGATGGGTTTTTTTTTACACACAGTGTATAAATCTGAAAAGACTGCTTAAAGACTCATAAATTTTTGAGATTGTTGCAGCGCCATCTGTTAGAGCCTTCCATAAACGACTGCAGACGGTTGGTGACAGTGGCTAGTCTTCCTCCATATTATACATGAGCTTGTAAATATTTGTAAATAAACTGTGTTATAAATAGCACTCGAATGGACGTAAATTGCGGTTAACACACACACATGCACATAGTTTGCAAGAATTATCAGTCAATTGAAGGAGGCAGACTAAATCAGAAGAAGAACAAGTTTTCAAGATGACGTCGAAACTCTTTAACAGAACCTGGAATGAAACACTTAATTCTCACCTAGATTTGGTAGGTGTCCATCATACACATGACCTCCAGATCCTGGCAATGTACAGATGATTTCAGTGAAGTCTACCCTTTCTGTACAAGAAGTAAATCTACAAAGTAAATCTACCACAGCTTGGACTCCAATGTTTTGCTCTGGTGTCTGTCCAGTCTTGACTACTCTCCCAAGTTGCTTGTCTGGGTATAATAAAGTTAAAAGACAGCCACAGGTATTCATAAAAATCCAGGTTTAAAGCCCCTCTAAAGTGTTAGGAGCCCAAAATTTGCCAACAATTTGATGGAAAAATTTCAATTTAATTATATCATAATGTGAAAGAGGATGTCTTTTAAGACAAACTCATGCAATTTGAAAACTTATATAAATTACAAAATACATCATTTGGGTTTTCTGTTGTAGGCCTACGCAGAAATGTATCCTGCTTTCCAATAAGGGGTATGAAGAATATAAAGGATAACATAAAACTGTACAAGCAGAACCCATTTGAACTTGGGTCCGATTTTGTGCAAGTGTGTACATGTGCACTGAGTAGTCTACTCACGAGTCACTGTAATGTAAGTTGAGAGTGTATTTAAACTTGCAAAATTTCTTTACAGAATTAATATATTGTAGATTACATTTTGAATATAGTTTGATTAACCACTAAGCTAGAAAACAATTGATTTCTTTCTTCGTTGATTGGTACACTTTGAACACTAAGAGGGTAGACAAAAAAGTCCATTAATTCATGGACCACCATCATGGACTGGGGTATGTAGACGATTGGATTGGCTGAATTGACAGTGAAGCAAATATACACCATGTCATTAAAATTAATTTCTGTTTATTATCAATGGACAATGTATAACTTTCTTTCTAAAGCTATAACAAGCTATAACCATCAGAATAGATTATAGCTTGCAATTTCTTTTGTTGATCAAGCAACAAACCTGTTCTATTTCTCATGCACCAGTGGGGATGTCTGACAACCTTCGCTCCAGGAAAACTTCCTCTAAGAGGAATATGAGGAGATGATGATCTTGGTAGCATCTTGATGCTGTATCAATTCAAATATATACAAAGTATTAGGTGAGAATCTTCTATAAACTATGAAAGGTACATGTATGTCTGCTTGATTTACCACATTGCATACAATTTGTGAATAATAAATCTAATATGCTTGAAGAAACATTAATAACCCTTTTAGAATAGTTGATGTTGTCTGAATATACAATTATGAGCTTTTTAATGATATGCCCATTGTTGTTTTATCCAATATGATGATGATGATCGATGATCATCGTTTACATCCGCTTTTCCCACGCTGTGGGGTGGACATTTCATTTCCATTATGGCACTTCCAATCTTTAACATCCGCCTGGAATCAGGCCAGATGCTCTTATAGCTCCTTCCAGGTTTTTATTAGGTCTTTCAGGTGCAAATTGAATAGTGCTGTAACCAAACGTTTAACCGTCCGGTATCCGACCGCCTATGGCGGATTCCGTTTTCAATTGGCCGGTTTCGTTTTCCCGTTTTTTTTTTTTTTTTTTTTTTTTTTTAATAATTTTTTTTTTAATTTTTTTTTTTAAAGTTTCGATTTATGCCCCTCCACCTGGCACTATGCCTGGCAATGTCTCCCAGCTCAGTAATCTGTGTGTTGACTCACTACTCCGAAACTAGAACAACACTTGTCTGTCATCTTGGTTTGAAAGTAATCTTTGTAATAGATCTCAATATGAAGTTTATAATAATAATTCATCCAACTTTTACACACGGCGTACCACAAGGTTCTATCCTAGGTCCTCTACTGTTTTTGATTTACATTAATGATCTTACACATTCTTCTAAAAACGACATTGTTACTATTATTTGTGACAAGTTAACAAGCACAAATCGGCCCCTTGAAATGCACCTCGCAGTTAAATGAAAGTTCTTCCCGCTTTTTCACACGGACCTGACTTTTTTTCTTTTTTTTTTTTTAATCGTTTAACCGAAAACCGTCCGGTTTTGATTGGCGGTTAAACGGAATTGGAGATATTCGTGATGTTACAGCACTAAAATTGAACATTCACTGTGCTCTGAAGCCAATGTTTTTTTTTTGTTCTAATGACCACATGACCATATCATCTCAATCTAAACATCCGTAACTCCTATGAGCTCTTGTCAGTCCTACGGAAAGGCGTACATATCCTCCAGACATTTTATATGATTTTGTCTCAAGTTGGATTGTTCACATGATGTTAAAGGCTATCTGGACTAGTTTTGCCAGAAGGGATTAGACCACACAGCGTGATCACTGACAGGTGGCTATCTCATCAAATCAGCTCTCAATTAACATAAGAAAAAGAGGATCATGGGCGACCAACAGGCACCGATTGGAAAAGTTTTCTATATTGAGGGAGCAAGTAGCTACAAGTAGTACAGTGTGGCTTTAAATTACAAAGACATTGATTGCACATACCCCTTAGATGTTTTGTGTGAGGACATCACTCTCATGAAGACATGACTCAGATCATGTTCGTCATTCATGTAGCAGGTCGTACAGAGGTCAAAGGCGTAGCACTCAGTGCATCTCCATCTTATGCCCTTGATCTCTTCCAGATTGCATGCATCACACCAGATTTTGAGATGACGAGCTAGAGACAAAATGACAACACAGTTTCTTAAAAGTTCAATGAGTCTCATGATTTCTTCTTCTTTTTTAATTATATTTGTTTATATTTTTCATACAGATTTCTGTGAATTCACTCACATATCAAGACATACTGAAACATGGGTCCCATTTTTAACAAAGATACCCCTAAATATGGGTCCGTTTTTTGTTTTTTTTTGAAAATTGTTAGGGATTTACTTTTTTACAAATCCGCCAAAATGACCCTTAAAAATGGGTAGGGGTTTCAAGGCTTCAGCGGCACACCCCCGTCAAAAACAAAATCTGAGTACCCCCCCCCCCCCTGGTTTCACTGGAGCAAATGTCAGGTCACCACAGCAGTTACCTGAATTTGAAGTTTCAAGGATCCTGATATCATAAGCCTGATTGTAGCCAGTCCTGTAGAGACCCTTTTCTCCATTGTCCCACTGGACGAGCACTGTTTGTTTGGCAAAGTAGGGTCGACAGACAGCTTGCAGACTTGAGACTGCTCCTGCATGCCCCTTTCCGCCATCTTGGTCCCTGTAGGTCCAGTCAGGTCCTCGAATGACACGGGTACCTCTCTGTATGCAGGTCTCCATCACCGGCCTTTGATTTGATATTATAGGCATTATTGTCCCAAAAAATGACTGAATTGCTGTGAAATATTGTTGAAAATGTACAAAACAAAGTAAAAAGTTAAAAACCAACATCAAGTTTTAAGAAAAATAACAAATTGCAAAAGGTAAGGAAAAATGAATATTGATCTTATTATTACCCCAGTTAAGCATTTACTACAGATTAAATCCTAAAATGAATAACATACTATCATCATATTAAAGCCGGCTTTTATTTGGTAGCTTTACCAGCATGGATTTCCAAAAATTACATAAATGTTGTACGGCAACATCGTTTTGGATTCAGCAAATCAAGTTGTTGGTAATGTACATTTCTAGTAAAAAATAATGGGCATTAGTCTGGTATAATGGGCAACGTTTCACAAAACCATCATAAGTACAAGTTCACCGACAAGTTCACAGCAATTTGTAGTATTATTCAGACGACAAAAGGAGAATGGACACAAAAGGGTAGTACGATTTGGTTATGTTTTACTTTCACTTCGTGTCATCGTTTCAACGTTGCCAATATATAGTCTTGTATCAAGACGTTATTAGATATTCCCACATCTCCCCCCAAGCTTATTATCAACAGTTCAAGAGTTCTTATTGATTTCCAAATAGTTTCAAATCCAATAAAATCCGAAATATAATCCTGTTTAAGAGTTCACGGATATTCTCCTTAATTGTGTTCTTCGAGTCCCGAGTCCATTCCAGTTTACTATTAAACCCAAATAAACACTGTCCAAACCTTTAAAGTCTTGTTCAGTTTCAGTTCCTGCAAAGTTAATCCCAATTTTGGTATTTAAGTTTAACCCATTACATGGACAGTCGCTTTGGTGGTTTCACGAGTCGTCCAGATCGCGTTCGCGTCTCTGTCGCAGCTGTTGGTGTAGAGGCTCCCTCAGGCTGCTTCCGGTTGATCTGCTGGTTACGTTGGGAACCGGTTGAGTCGCTTTCATCAGAATCGTCAGGTCTCTCTGGATCGTTGCTCATGGATGACTCCGGCACTCTGGTCTTGGTGGGTTGACCTTGGACAGCAATCAGTGCACGGCGATTACGACGTACTGTCCCATGTTCTGTCTGGACATGGTAGGACCGTGGTTGTTGCGCTTTCTGGGTGACTTTCCCGTAGCGAGACTGATCACGGATCCACACGGAATCTCCTGGTTGTAGCTCTGGAAGCTCACGTGAGTCATGACGTCTGTTGTAGGTCATCATTTGATCTGACCTGTACTTCTCCTCTTTCTCTCTCACAGTCGTCAGGTCCGGCTGATGTACCCGTGGCAGCAGCATGTGCGGCAAAGTAGGAACCTGAGTCTGCAATCTCCTCCCCATGAGAAGTTCACAAGGAGCTAACCCGTTTTGGAGTGGTGACGCTCGATAGCTGAGAAGGGCTAACTGGATGTCGTCGTTCTTCTTCAGCAACGCTTTCACAGTGCGAACTCCTCTTTCAGCCTCACCATTAGCTTGTGGGTATCTTGGAGAGCTGGTTGTATGGACGAATCCATACTCTTCAGCAAGCTTTCTGAAGTTCTCGTTGGCGAACTGTGGACCATTGTCTGAAACCACAAGGTCTGGAATCCCATGGACTGCAAAGATCTCCTTCAGCGAAGAAATCACTGCCATTGTTGACTGACCTTGGAGTTGTTTGACCTCAATCCACCTCGAGTAGTAGTCAACTACTATCAAGAACGATTTCCCTTTGAGTTCGAACAGGTCCATTCCAAGACGCTCCCATGGCCTTGAAGGAAAGGATGAGCTCATCAAAGGCTCGCGGACCTCTTGGCGATGGATAGCACAGGTCAAGCAGCTTGAAATCATTTCCTCCAATGATTTTGATAGACCTGGCCACCACACTGAATCTCTGGCTCTGGCCCTGCATTTGGTTATTCCCAGGTGTCCTTGATGTAGCCTCTCAAGGATATCAAGTCGCAGAGCTCTCGGAATGACTATTCTCTCGTCGTAGATAAGCAAGTCCTCTACCACACTCAGGTGTCCTCTCTGCTCATAGTAGTGTTTGAGGATCGGGTTATGTGGCATGTAGTCTGGCCATCCTTGAATGCAGTAGTCTCTGATTTTTGCACATACTTCATCTGCTTTTTGTGCATTTCTGATTTCCTCAAATCTCTGCATTGTCACTGGGAGGTTGATGGCTGATGTTGATGCATATGATTCAACCTCATCTACGAAGTTGACATCATCCATTCCTGGCCTCTCTACTGGCGCTCGTGACAAGGCGTCAGCGGATGTCTGCTGTTTTCCTGGAACATACAATGTCTCTGCATCAAATCTCATCATTCTCATTCTGAAGCGTTGGAGTCGTGGAGGCATTTTCACAAGTTCTTTCGAGTTTAGAAGTGTGACCAATGGCTTGTGGTCAGTTTCCACCTCGAAATGAAGACCAAGTACATACTCGGAGAACCTCTCGCACGCCCAAGTAGCTGCCAGTGCCTCTTTTTCAATCACTGCATACCTCTGCTCAGTCTCGGTAAGCGATCGAGATGCATAGCACACTGGTCTACGATTTCCATCAGTCTGCACTTGATACAGGATTGCACCCATTCCAGTCCCGGATGCATCTGCTGCAATGACTGTTGGCAGTTCTGGATCATAATGAGCTAAGACTGCTGTCGAGACCATCATCTCTTTGATCTGTGTGAAAGATCTCTGCTGCGCTTCTCCCCAACACCACACATTGTCTTTCTTCAGGAGTTGACGAAGGGGCTCGTTGATCTCAGCTAATCCTGGGAGAAACTTTCCCACCTGGTTCACCATTCCCATGAACCTCTGTAGCTCTTTCACGCTTCGAGGAACTGGAAAATCTCGAATAGCTCTTGTTTTGCTCGGATCGACCTTGACACCAGTGTCGTCGATGAAGTGCCCTAAGAACTTCACACTCTGTTTGGAGAATTCACACTTTCCCTGATTTAGTGTGATACCTGCTTCCTGCAGACGTTGTAGAACAGCTCGTACTCTGATGTCATGTTCTGTTTGTGTTGCACCATGGACTAGCACATCATCCATGTGACAAATCACGCCGTCAAGTCCTTCGAGGATAGTGGACATCGCTCTCTGGAAGACTTCTGGCGCTGACGTTATCCCGAACGGCAATCGGTTGAAGCAAAATCTCCCAAATGGAGTGACAAAGGTTGTCAGTAGCTTTGACTCATCCTCCAATGGAATTTGCCAAAACCCGCTGTTGGCGTCCAGTTTTGTGAAGATTGTGCTCTTTCCCAGTTTTGCTAGACTTTCATCGACTGAAGACATCGGATGAATCTCTCGTTCAACTGCCTTGTTGAGAGATGTAAGGTCTACACAAATTCTCACCGAACCACTGGGCTTCAACACTGGAACCATCCCCGAACACCACTTTGTCGGCTCAGTCACTTTTGAGATCACATTTTGCTCCAACATGGACTATAGTTCTTTCTTCACCTTCGGTAGAAGCGGATGAGGAACTTTCCTGGCTGTATACAGGCACATCGGCTTGGCATCTGAAGTTAACGTGATGTGGTATGCTGTCTTCAGTTTCCCCAAACCAGTGAAAAGTTGAGGGAACTCAGCCTTGAAGTTTGCAGTTTCATCATCACAAGAATCGACTTCCTCCACTCTGCGGACTAGATTCAAGGTTCTACACGCTTTCCTACTCAGCAATGAAGACTCCTGATCTTTGACCACATAGAGAGTCTCCTTGATCTGTTTATCTCTATGCCTGAGAGTTGATGTCATTTGTCCTATTACAGTCAGGACTGTACTTCCTGGACCACGTAACCTCTTGGTTGTTGGTCTCATGATGTGTTTATTCAGCCATGGAGTGGAATCAGACAACACAGTAACGGCTGCTCCTGTGTCTAACTTGAAGTGTGTTTCATTCCCATCTACGAGGATCGATGAACTCCAGTACGTCTGATCGTTCTCGCTGACTTCACCAAGGAAGGGGACATCAATGTCATCGAAATCATCTACTTCGCTGACTCGAGCTTTCCATTTTTGCTTGGCTGCCTCTTGTTTTCCCTGTTCTGGTTGTTTGGCTTGACACACAGACTGGAAGTGGCCCATCTTTCCACATTGATGGCACTTTGCATCTTTTGCGGGACAGCTGGCACGTGCATGATTCTGCCTTCCACACCACTTACAGTTACCCTGCGGAGTTTGAGATGTTTTCTTCGAGTACGTTCCCTTGCTCTTAGGCCTTACGTAGTTTACGGCCGAGTTAGGGCTCTCACTCTCTGCACCTCCCCTCACAACAGACTTGTTTTGTTTCCGGGCTTCTGACTGTCTACTCAATTGAACTGCTTTTGAGAGAGTTAGGTCTTCTCTAGACTGTAGTTGATCAGATAGGGAGTCATCAAGCACCCCAACTACAATTCTGTCTCTTATCAAGCCCTCCTTAAGTCTATCGTAGTCACAGTCCTCTGCTAGCCTGTACAAATCATTGATAAATGTGTCCACACTTTCTCCCGGGCGTTGTGTTCGTTTGTTGAATTTTGCCCTTTCAACAATAATGTTTTTCCGTACATTGAAATACTTCTTCAATGTTGCGATCACGTCATCATACTTTGCTGTCTCCTCTTTCACATTGAGAGACACGATAATATCATCGGCACATTCACCCATAGCATAGAGTAGCGTACTAACCTGCTCACTGTCTGGCTTGGATGCGAGGCCCGATGCGACGCGATATCTCTCGAACCGCCGTGACCATTTTGGCCATTGTTCTGCTTGATTTAAGCCTGCAACTTTATCAAAGCTTTCTGGCAATGGTAGACGAGAACTTTCCATGGTTCTTCACTTATACCGCTGCCACCATGTAGTATTATTCAGACGACAAAAGGAGAATGGACACAAAAGGGTAGTACGATTTGGTTATGTTTTACTTTCACTTCGTGTCATCGTTTCAACGTTGCCAATATATAGTCTTGTATCAAGACGTTATTAGATATTCCCACACAATTCAGTCATTTTTTGGGACAATTATGCCTATAATATCAAATCAAAGGCCGGTGATGGAGACCTGCATACAGAGAGTCATGCAAATGCATGCAAACTTTTAATACATGTGTTTCAATGGGATTTGAGTAAATTGTACTTATGATGGTTTCGTGAAACGATACCCTGGCTGAGATGGCTCTTGCCTAATAGTACAATAATACAATCACACCAACAACGTGGCACACAGAGAAGGGTCTGGCTTTCCTGTTTGGGGTTGTTTGTTAGATAATAAATAATAAATGAGAGAGTACTGCTAATTTACAAATGTTATCTTGAAGGAAAAAAAAGTAGAAATGTGTTGGTTCACCAAAAAATACCCCTTTCATCGTGCTTCTATCGGATTCACACCGATGAAAATACCGATTGAATTTTCCTAATGTAAACAAAGGTAAAACTGCCGCTTTCCCTGCTGTCCTTACAGTCCTTTTCATACTGCGGGTGAAATGCACTCGCTGTGGCGAGCCCTTGCCGGAAGTGAAGAATTATTGCGCAATTATTAAATCCGCGCCCCATCTAGTTAGCATGCAGCATGCTCAACAAAAGTCAACAAGCACAGCTGGTTACGAAAAAGCGCGCGTACACTGCAACCTTTGACCATTTTGATCGAACTTTTAGTCTGTGTTTTCTCCTGAACGCATTCACAGTGGCTGTTTCATCGGTGTCACACCGATAGAAAGAGAATTTCTCCTCCTCTTGAGCAGGAGAATTTAATCGCCTATTTCTCTTCTTTTCATCGGCTATTGTATCGGATTTTTCTCCTTTGTACCATTCATAGTGGCCGTTTCATCGGATGCGTCCGAATAAATTCGATGTAAATCAGGCCAGTTTGAAAGGGGTAAAAGAGAGAGAGAAGAAGATTTAGGGGTACATGAGTGTACATTAGGGGGATATTAATTATCTTGAAGGAAAGCATTTGACCGAGTTAATCATGAGAAATTGATTAGCTGTCTGAACTCTCTGGGCCTAGATGGGAAGATGTACGTCTGATTGCAAGTCTGTACTGGAACCAGAAGGCAGTTATACGAAGCAGGGAAGGGTTATCGCCAGAAGTTGAAATACAGAAAGGTGTTCGACAAAGCTGTATGATCTCTCCCTTGTTGTTCAACATCTATTCAGAGATGATTTTCAGGGTACTGAATGATGAGGAGGGTATCAACATAGGAGGTTTGATCATTAACAACCTGAGGTACGCGGATGATTCTGTAATACTAGCCAAATCAGAGGAGGATTTGCAGAGACTTGTAGGAAAAGTGAATGATGAAGGGGAACGATTTGGTATGGCAATTAATGTCTCCAAGACTAAGACCATGGTGGTGTCGCGAAAGAAGGAAGTCCCCCGTGTTAGCATCCAAATCAATGATATATTAATGGAACAAGTAAGTAATTTTGTTTATCTTGGGCAGACACTCACAGAGGATGGAAAATGTAACAATGCAATAAAACAGAGGATTGAAATTGCAAGATCAGTCTTCATGAAAATGGAAAAGATATTATGTTGTAGGAAAATAAACTTAGAGCTGAGATGCAGAATCTGTAAATGCTACATCTGGAGTACTCTATTGTACGGAGTCGAAACATGGACTCTATGCAAAGAAACAGAACGGAAGTTGGAAGCTTTTGAAATGTGGTGTTTCCGCAGAATGCTAAAAATCAGCTGGGTGATGAAAGTTAGCAACAAAGAAGTCCTGAACAGAGCAAACAAAGAGAGAGAACTGATTAACGCAGTGCAGAAGAGAAAACTAGTGTATGCTGGTCATGTGATGAGAGGAGGAGGATTGCAGAAGATCTTGCTGGAAGGAATGGTAGAGGGTATGGGTAAATGAGAAAGGGGTAGACAGCGAATCACTTGGTTTGATGATGTCAAGAAATGAACTGGTTTTAACTACGGAGAGGTTAGAGCAAGGGTACATGACAGAAAGAGATGGAGGTGCATAGCCGCCAACCCCTTCCGAAGGGACGGCACTAGATGATGATGATCAGGGATTAGAACAAATAAACCTTGTCAATCAAGAGAGATATTAAAGATAAACTGAGATACAGATACCGGTACCAGTATACCTCTAAGCTGATAAGGATTAAGAAAGGGAAGGGGGGAGGGAATTAGCCAACAGGTTGTCAACAGGGATTAGAGGTCTATAGGACAAAAGGGCACTACTTAGAGGTTCTGGGACAAAAGGTTTCACAGGTTCTGTGACAAAGGATTAGCTCCTTTATTTGCTAAGTGAAGATAGGTCTATCAGATATCAGATATGTCTAACAAATATCAGACCTGATGACTGGGTGCTGTAATTTAAACTTTACAAACTGAATGAAATCTGCAAAACCCTGTAGTCCTTCTAACTTCTTGCATAGTTTTGCCTTAAACATAAAATAAATAAGGCACCGTGACATATAGGAATTTTCTTGCAACAAATTAGAAAATTTATTTTTAGACTGTTATGTCAAAGCCTTGATCACTGCATGTATTTAGGTTACAAGTTGCATGATTTAACTTATTCCTCCATCTTTAAAAATTAACTGATTTCTATCTGCTTTGGCCACATATTATACAGTACTCAATAAAACTCATGTCTTGAGAACTGTTTAACTAATCTGTCAGATTGTTCTTACCGGCCTGCACAGGCTGCAGTCTTTTTAATTTGTTGCTCTGTCTTGTTTGTCAAAAGCACACTATTTTGGAGGTCAAACTTGTCATTTGATCCAATATTATTGGCAATTGAGCAATAGGAGACTATATAGTCCATTGTTCCCATAGACCACCATTCTCTTAGTCTAGGGCAGACTTTGTTTTCTGGTCAGTATAGTAAGCTGGTCAGTAGTCCATTAATTTGGACCGTTTAAATTAAAGTCATGAGATCCGAGCAGGCACATTTTCCTTGCAGACCTAGCTCGAGTGGCTATTTGCAATGACAATGCTTTTTCAACCTTGATTTTTCCATGAATTTTTGTATATTACTGATCAATTCCATTATGTGGCTATTAATATTCAATGCATGTAGACTACAGTCCATCATCTGTGAGTGTGATCACTACTAGTACTACACTACACAGTCACTACATTAGTACAGAGTACATGTACAAGCTTGTTTACTGATTGTTAATAGACTCTCCTTTTTTAATAACACTGTTCATCATGCAAACAACCTTGCTGAAAAACTTGGGAGTAATTTTACTTGGCTTGCATGTCCTTCAATATTCTACATCATCTCAATTCTCATCCTCAACCCTACCCGAACGACGAGCGAACCAACGTGCACGCATAAGCCATGGCATAACAAAACGTTTGAAAGACTCAATTGTTCACTCGCGATTAACACCCCCCAGCTAGACTATATAGTCCAGAGTACGTAGGCGCTCTCTCTTTCGTTATGACTTTGAACGAAGACGCATCATCATTCAAGTACCGATACTGTAAAGTCATGTAACAGTCATATCTAATAGAATTCGAATTAAAATTTGAACATACCTGAAATGTATTCATGCAATCGGCCCAGTTGAAATTGTACCAGTTGAGTGTCGTCGCGTCTTCAATTCAGAAAGTGCAGCCTGTCTAGCTACATCAACACGTGCCAAATGCGGCAAGTGCAGCATGCAGCACACATACGCACGTGGAATTAGTGAATCAAAACAAACCGACTGAACTGTGCAGGTGTTCGTTCTATTGTTAATTTTGGGGGGGATCCCGGAATGACCGCATTAATTGGGCATATTGAATGCCCGCTGTTGACAGTATGAACCTTCTCCTGTAGGATTTCAATGCCTTTAATTATCCTTTTGTGTGATTCTTTTCTCACAATTGAAGTGGAAAACTCATGTAAATAATATATGCAAAATATTGTCAAGGGTCTGGTGTAATCATGGGCGGCGCCGCTAGACCATTTTCAGTGTGGGGGGCCCGGCCGGCGGCCGTGGGGGGGGGGGGGGGGGGGGGGGGGGGGGGGGGGGGGGGGGGGGGGGCGGGGGGGATCGCGAGGGCCGGGCACTCTAAAAACTAAAATGTTAAATCTCAATTTAAAAGCTGGGCCGAGGAGTGACCACTCTTTCAAATGTCAGATTGTAAATTTTAACATGCTAGATTCAACCTTTATAGTGTTGGATCCAGCATGATCAAAGTGCTATTTTACCATTTTGAAAGAGTGTTATCCCCTCGGGCCTTTTAAATGGTGATTTAAAATTTCAGTTTCTAGAGTGGGGGAGGGGCCCGGAGGTGAGTAAGAGGGTAGAGGCCCAAGCCCCTCCACCTGGGGAAAAGAAGGGTAAAAACACGTGATGTTGCCTTTTTTTGGCGATGCCCCCCCCCCCCCCCCACTGAGCGAAATATTGGGATTGAAATTTCAGCACACTAAATTTAAAATTGATTTCAAATTTGCCCCCCCCCCCCCCTAAGAAATCCTGGATCCGCACCTGTTGTATAATATTCCTCATTCAATGTAGAACGTTCTCAGGTAATGCCATTCAGGGGCGGATCTAGGACTTTCCAAAACTCGCGCCGTTTTACTGTTTTACTTGTTTTTCTTCTTTTTTCATCACTTGGCCGTCCAAGGGGGGTTAAACCGCCGACCCCCCCCCCCCCCCCCCTAGATCAGCCCTTGCCATTCCGTTCCGTTTGGAGTCGACCATTTTGGTCTTCAGGATTGAATTGTTGTTGCAATCCCAGGTCAAAAAAATAGTTGAAACAGTTGCATTTTCAACTGGTATCAACTGGAATCAACTGTTGTACCAGTTGATTCCAGTTGACGGAACTGGGATATGTGCCAGTTTATTATACTGCATGGTTTCAAATGGATTCAACTTGTACCAGTTGAAACCAGTTGACACATCTGGTAAACTTCACATGCACCGGTATATCCCAGTTAAAACCCATTGACTCTACTGGCATTCTGAAAACAACCAGTTGGTTCCAGTTGAAACCAATTAACCATACTGGTATTAAATTGTTTCACCAGTTGATACCAGTTAAAAACAATAGGCCTTACTGGTACATCTGCCAGTTGATTCCAGTTTAAAACCCATGAAACCCAAGTGGACCATTTGAGACCTGTTGTTTCCAGTAGATGATTACCAGTTGAAAACCAATAGATGAATACCAGTTGAAACCATGATTACCAGTTGATTTACCTACCAGTTGAAAACCAGTAGATGATGAAAACCAATAGATGATTACCAGTTGAATTACCAGTTGAAACCGATGATTGCCATGCAGTTGATTTACCAGTTGAAACCAGTAGAATATGCAGTTGAAAACCAGTTAATTGTATCTTGTGCATTTCATATGGAAAAGTGGTGTCTTTTGGCGAGTCTGTGGCACAGAAAATATAATTAGCTGGTCCCCAACTGTTTTTTTTTTTACCTGGGATGTATTTCTAAACCCGTATAGCTAATTTTTTTTGCAATTTATTTTGCAATGTGCCATCTTACTTTTCATTTCAATAAAAAAAATCTAACCACTCAGAATGCGTTTCCCTCCTCCTTTTCCTCGCAAAGGAAGAAGAGGAACGGTCATCAATGACGACGAGCGAGTTATCGAGAAGATAACACTCGAAGTCCGCTTCGCGCTCAGAGGGAAACGCTACGACTCTTCATCGTGGTTAGGTGTGGGAACACTAGTGTGTCGTAAGAGAACGAAACATACTATAGAAATGATCCCTAAAAGTATGATCTTAAATTTTAAAGCAGAATCTCTTAAAAAATATTGAAGTATTAAACATGATAAAATATGGTTAGTAACAAATAGTTTCCTGAGAAATACCGAATCGAGGTAGTAAAAGATATTTCTAATTTATTAAAGAGTTATAACTTATTTTACAGTTATGATTCAAAAGTAATATTTTTTTTCTGGTCTGGATTTTTTTCTTAGATTAGGGTAAAGGTGAAATCTTTGGTAGATGCTTGGAAGAGCTGAAATAGAACAGCCTTAAGATGAATATTCATGATTATTGTTAGTCTTTGATACCAGACAAGAAACCTGTTTCAAGTTTTGTCAATCCATTTATATAGGATGCAAATTGTATAACCAAACATATTAATGCATCGATAAGTTGTCATAAGTATTAAAAATGTCTAGATTACATTATTTTTGGACTGTAATTATTTTTGGACTGTAATTGTTTTTTTTCCTCAGATCGAGGAAAATATTTTTAACGAACATGAAAAGAGAGGCTGGGTCGGAACAGCTATATGATGAATATTCATGATTTTGTTAGTCTTTATTACCAAACTTTAGCTAAATTCCAAGTGTTTTATTCTGTTATTTTGACGTAACTCCTGGATATAACCTAACATAAACATATCATAAGATTGTCATCATGCATGTAGTGCCTCATCTTACCGTACTGTGATCTATTTATTTTAATTCTAGATTGAGGTAATGCTGATTTTTGTTTCGTAAGAGAAAGATACATAGGCCTACTATAGAAATTATCCCTAAAAGTATGATCTTAAAGTGTAAAACAGAATTTCTGTAACTATATAAAAATTATGGAAGAATTAAACATGATAAAATATGGTTAGTAACAAATAGTTTCCTGCGAAATACCAAATCGAGGGACAGTAAAAGACATTTATACTTCATTGAAGAGTTAAAACTTGTATCATAATAGTAATCAAAAAGTACAAGCATTTTTAATATGCTGGGATATTTTTCTAAGATGAGGGTAAAGTGAAATCTTTGGTAGATGCTTGGAAGAGCTGGAAGATAACAGTTGTGTGATGAATATTCATTAATTAATTATCATTCAAAATTTGTTTTGAAAGTAACTGTCTGGATTGTGGAAGCAATTTATGAAATGCATATCGATTGATTGGTGTAAACATGGAGGTAAGAATGTCAAAGGTAATGATCATTTTCGCTAGGCTCCAGCTGGTTATCTAGTGTATAATTGGTGAGGTTTCGGAATTGATAACAAATCTACTCAATCTTAATGAAAAGCACATTAACTTCACTTAGAAACGGGTATATTATGAGAGGACTGATATGTAGCATGACCCTTTGGTCGAAACACTTCAGCTGTTTTGGTCATATCTGTCATATTTTGAATATAAATGCATATAGTAGAACAATTCTTTTTAGGTGACACTTCTATTATGTCAGTCTACAACTGATTTACGAAAAAAAGAACGAGTCATAAGCTCACAAAATTTAACTATCTTTCACTTTTTACCAGAAGTCAATGTTGACTTAACTCCATGTTTTCCTTCTCGGTCTTTCTTTGTCTACAAACGTGCATATACATCCTGAATCTGTTTACAATAAGAGGTCAATTATATACTTAATTTCGTTGGTTACAATTACTAACTATATAAGACAATTATTGAACCATACAAATTAATATCAGTTTGTCAGTCAATCGAGTTGTTTGTAAAACATAGTGTCTATGGTGTTCATTTCATGACATAGTATAATTTTGTTTCTATTAACATACTTGCACAGTTGAAATACATTCGTTGATGCTATGTCGGGCTCACCTATCAAATTTTGCCTAGTTCTTCTATTTCATGTTATTTGTAAAATGGTGTTCATTTCATGACATAGTATAATTTTGTTTCTATTAACATACTTGCACAGTTGATGTACATTCGTTGATGCTATGTCGGGCTCGATCACCTATCGAATTTTGCCCGAGTTCTTCTATTTTGCCCCCCCCCCCCCCCCCCCACCTTCCATGAATACTGAAATTTCCATATGCCCTAGCTATTACCCTCCCTCCTCCCCTATCCATTGCAAGTTGTTTTTCCTCTTTCCCTTTTTTCAATTCTCAACTGGAATCCATGCAGTTGATTCCACTCTACCAATTTTCATATTGAAACCAGTTCCCTGAATCAACTGGTGGTATAGCTAATTGCTTTTAACTGCATGACACGGGTCCCCATAACTGTTTTTGACCTGGCTTATTGCCATCACATTTGTGCTTAATTAGGAAGCTATATATCGCATCGGGAAACCTAAGAGAAAAGAACCACACAAAAGGATAATTAAAGGCATTGAAATCTAACAGGAGAAGGTGCACAATGACAATGTCAACGGCGGGCATTCTATTTGCACAAAGCGGTCATTCCGGGAACCCCCACAATAAATAATAGAACGAACAGCTGTTTTTCAGTTGGTTTGTTTTGATTCTCTTCCACGTGCGTGTGCTGCGCTGCTGCTGCACTTGCCGCCGCATTTCACGTTTGCATTTTTGAAGACAAGCTTGCACTTTCACTGAAGCGCCGACACTCAACTGGTAAAATTTCAGCTGGGCCGATTGATTGAATACATTTGAGGTAGGTCTATGTTCAAATTTTAATTGGAATTCTATTAGATATGACTGTTACATGACTTTACAGGATCGGTACATGATGCGTCTTCGTTTAATGTGATAAAAGCGAAAGGTAAATGTAAGTCTAGACTAGAGAGCTTACATGGACTGATCGAGCTGAGGTGTTGATCAACAATCTTTCAAAAGTTTTAGTTACTAATGCCATGGCTATGCATGCGTGCACGTGGGTTCGCTCGTCGTTCGGAAGGTTGGGGCGTGGATGAGAATTGAGATGCTGTAGAAACTGAATGCCAATTGCAAGCCAAGTAAAATTACTCCCTAATCCCTATTACCTATTTTTCAGCAAGGTTGTTTGCATGATGAACATTGTTTTTAATGTCTACTTTCTGTCGTTTAACATAGCCTAGGCTAAGGGCTTGGTGATAATGTAAAATATGAAGTTAAGGCTAGTTTAATTTTCTGTCTCTTCAATTGTTGTTAGTTAGCCTCTTATTTGGGTAGGATCGGCTCCTCTCTTTAGAGACAGAAACTGACCATAGACATACGGTCTCCTGTGTAAGCGTTGTGGCCATTTATTTTACCAGATTCATATCCAATGCATTTTTTTTGGAAAATTAGGCCTAGGCTAATATACATGTAATGTACATCGGTTCCACTTACAAGATTGACTGTATGATGCGTTTAAGGGTCTTTCTTCCAGATTTTCTTCATCGAAATGGAGCTCCATGTTGAAATTCTTTGACTGTCTTAGCCTAGGCTACAATGTTTTTCGGCTCCTCTTGGCATTCGTCCAACCACTTGAAATCATAATTTAAAGAAGTCTTTGATGTGAAAAGGGTAGACCGAAAGCTTCAGTCTCTATAATCGTCGGTTGTTCCACTGAGACTACGTCTGGCTCCACTAGACCTCCGGTTATAGAGACTGAACGACTGCCTATGCCAGCCTGTGTTGAACTTATTCCGCTAGATTTTAGCCGCTAGGCCCCTCCCACAAACTTGCCACGGCCGTATTGTTATGCCCCCAAAATCCCCCAAAATGTCATTTTACCTCGTTCATTTCCAATTTTAAATTAGGCCTAGGCTATAATAAATCGGTTCCACTTACTAATTAGATTGATATAATCCGTTTAATGGTCCCTTTTAAGGAAATTATCGGTCAAAATCGACATCCATGTTGAAAATCTTGCAAGCCGTGTTAAACTCTCGCTGCCGTCAATCTCATCCCTTCTAGTCTACGCCGAAGGCAAAATGATTATGAAGGAAAAACTGTGCGCCATCTACACGTTCGTAATGGCGTTATCACAGTTTTTCCTTCATAATCATTTTGCCTTCGGCGTAGACTAGAAGGGATGAGATTGACGGCAGCGAGAGTTTAACACGGCTTGCAAGATTTTCAACATGGATGTCGATTTTGACCGATAATTTCCTTAAAAGGGACCATTAAACGGATTATATCAATCAAGTTAGTAAGTGGAACCGATTTATTATAGCCTAGGCCTAATTTAAAATTGGAAATGAACGAGGTAAAATGACATTTTGGGGGATTTTGGGGGCATAACAATACGGCCGTGGCAAGTTTGTGGGAGGGGCCTAGCGGCTAAAATCTAGCGGAATAAGTTCAACACAGGCTGGCATAGGCAGTCGTTCAGTCTCTATAACCGGAGGTCTAGTGGAGCCAGACGTAGTCTCAGTGGAACAACCGACGATTATATTATAGAGACTGAAGCTTTCGGTCTATGAAAAGGGGTGATTCTTCTTGCTAACCCAGCGATTCATCCATGTTGTGTCGTCGATTCAACATGGCGAAGAGAAAGTAATAGTACGGTATGCATGCGCTAGCACTGTATAGCGGCGCATCAAATATGAATATTCATGCTATAGAGCGCCGTTAGTTATATAAGAATCTGCAATATTAAATGTATACGCTTAGGACCATTATTGCATACCTGCCAAGTGCCAACCCTTCCGAGTAATCCGGACTATTCCAATTTTCTTGATTTTTTTAGGACCTAAAAATTTGAAATATTCTGATTTGTTTAAAGTTAAATTTTATTTTTTATTTTTTTGGTTGTTGCTAGCTTGTTTTATCATGTGCCAAGAGTTCACGTTGTGTGCGATGAATAGCTGCATGATCGATCAGCTGATTTGTATTCACTTTTTTTTAACCTTACCGCGTATTGCCAGTAACACTGCCGCTGCATGTGCAAACTCCTGTTAAGGGTACAGATTTCTTATTTTTTGAAGGGATACTGTGCCAGAAATTCCTAATTCTTATTTTCAAATGTTGGCAGGTATGTTATTGCGCGTAATGACCAATTTTTGCAATTCATCTAACTTGTTAAAAAATAAATTAACTGTTTTTCCAGCAAGTTTACCGTGCCATATTTGAAAGGGTCTACATGCAGTATATAGTGTCAAGGCTATGACAAAACAGTCTAATTAACTATTGTGCTAATTTGTTGGTTGTTACAGGAAAATTCGTATAAGTTGGGTTGCCTGCCTTATTTATTTTATTTTCAGGGCAAAACTATGCAAGAAAGACTACAGGCTTTTGCTGATTTCATTAAGTTTGTAAATCTTTAAGATAGTTCCCAGTCATCATAGCTCTGATAAATCTTATGAAACTGTCCAGGATCTCGCTGGCTTAAAACTACTTTGGATCAATATGTTCACACAGCAAATAAACTGAGCTAATCCTAGCTTTTGTCACAAAACCTCTGCCTTTTCAAGTTTTCACCCCAATCCAATTAGTGCCCTTTTGTCCTATAATCGCTGTTGACAACCTGTTGGCTAATTCCCTCTCTGCCCCTACATTCTCCTAATCCTCATCTCTATCTCAGTTTATCTCAAATATCTCTCTTGAAAGACAAGATTTATTTGTTCTAATCCCTGATACCTGTTATATCCCCCTAATGTACACTCATACATTCACTCTTATATTTTCTTCTCTTTCACTCTTTTTATTGGTTAACCAACAAGTTGCAAGTTTTTTTTTCAAGATAGCATTTATAAATTAGCATTAAACTTTTATTTGTTATTTAATAAACAACCCCAAACGAGAAACCCAAATCCTTCTCTATGTTCTATGTTGCTGGTGTGATTGTATTAAAGCCCCACTGCACTACTTCTAGCTACTTGCGCCCTCTATATAGCAAACAATGCCTAATCAGTGACCATTGGTCCCCCATGATCCCCTTTTTTCTTATGTGAATTGAGAGCTGATTTGATGAGATAACCACCTGTCAGTGACCAGGCAGGGAGGTCTAATCCCTCCTGGCCAAACTAGTGCAGTGGGGCTTTAAGACAAGAGCCTGGGCATCGTTTCTCAAAACCATCAGAACTTTAAAAATGTGCACGCATTTCAATGGGATGTCGGTGAACTTGCTTTATGGAGTTTGTTTTAAATGCTGCCCAGTATACCAGACTAATGCCCACCATTTTGACTAAAAGTAGAAATGCATATTCCTGTAACTTAATATTTATTTATTTATTTATTTTATTTATTCAAGTCTTCTTTATACAGGGTGGCCCTTTCAATAACGAGTATTGCTCTTCCAAGGGGCCCTGTCTATACAATTAAAAACATGTAAAACATTGCACATTAATATGGTATACATACAAATAAAACCGATATACAAAGTAACTAAAATTACAACAAGAAATACGAATACAATATATGAAATATTTAAAAAAAAATAAATAAAAAAAAAAGTTTAAGAATAAATATTGCAAATGAAAGAAGAAGAAGAAGGAAAAAAAAAGTGTTTGTCAGAGGGCGTTTTGGATACTGAGAAGCTTGCATTGCCTCTTAAAGGACAATAGGGACACACTAACACGTACATTAGGAGAGAGGTTATTCCACATGAGTGACCCTTGGTAGTGAAGGGATCTTTTGAAATAATCTGTTCGGGGAGTTTTAATGAAGAGTGGAGATTGTGCAGAATGCCTGGTATAAATAGAAATCTTTCTCGGGATAACTATTGGCTTGAGATATAAACTTATAAAGGCGTGAGATTATTTTGAATTTTGTACATATTTAAACAAATTTGGTAATTAATTCTTTGACGTACTGATTGCCAGGAAAGTTCAGTCAACATAGTGATGTGAGGGGTAAAAAAATCAGCTTTAAGTATGAGTCTTGCAAAACGGTTTTGTAGTTTTTGAATTCTTGAAATATGACACATTGCACTTTGTCCCCAGATAATATTGCAATAATCGATGTGCGGTAAAAACAAACTATTATAAATCATTAACAAAATACGTTTCGGTAAAAGATATTGAATACGTTTGATATAACCAATAGTTCTTGATAACTTATTACATAATGTATTAATGTGGCAGTTCCACCGTAAGCAAGAGTCAATTATCAAACCAAGATATTTAAATTCATTAACCTGTTCGAGTTTGTTGGTGTTTACATACATTTCTAGTTTCTTATTTTTCACTTTAGATTGAGTTCCAATTAACATGCATTTTGTTTTCTTTACATTAAGGGTTAACCGATTATCATCAATCCATGCAAGGATTTTATTCAGTGCTAGCTGTAACTCTTTCTGGACAAGAGAACATGATTTCCCTCGACAAAATATAGCGGTATCGTCAGCGTACACACATAGTTTAAAAGAATTACCAAATTTAATATTACATGCATCATTAATGAATATAGAGAACAATAGAGGCGATATCATACTCCCTTGCGGGACACCTTTCGATATAGGTCTAAAATTGGAAAGACTATCGTTCACCTTAACACATTGTTCACGGTCATGTAAATAATTAGAAAACCAAATAGCCTCTGTTTCTTTTACACCATACGTTGATAATTTAGATAAAAGTAGTTCATGAGAAACAGAATCGAATGCACTTTTCAGATCAATGAAAACAACTCCGGTCACCAAGCCTTCTTCTATGTTACGTAACAAGTATTCATTTACATCAATTAAAACGCTATTTGTTGAGTGCAGTGGGCGAAAGCCAGATTGGAGTGAACTCAATAGTTCATTGTCAATAAAATACTTGTATAGTTGAGAATGTACAGCCTTTTCTAGAATTTTCATTATATGCGGAAGAACCGATATAGGTCTATAGTTAAAAATCTCTTGTTTACTCCCGTTTTTATATAAAGGGGTAACTCTTGCTTTTTTCCATTCTTTCGGAATACAACCTGTACGAAGGGAGGTATTAAAGATATGAGTGATTACTTCACAGATAAAAGCACCCCCTTCTTTCAAGAGGAATGGGTGTAAGGAGTCAAGGCCCGGTGATTTCTTTGTACTTAGACTATTCAGTTCTTTAAACACGTAATCTTCCGTCACATATTTAAACTTGAACGTTTCAAAAGTGCAGTGACTTTCTTCAGACGTATCACTGGATGAATCATCACTTTGAGGTGTAAAATGTTCATTAAACAAATTAGCAACTTTAAACGGTTCAGTTTCTATTTTATCAGTGACTGTATCGTGAATTGCTAACCGATTGTTATTAACAGAGGGGGAAAATTCTCTCAAAGTTTTCCAAGTATTTTTAGAGTTAGATTTATTGATATCGAATTGATGTAGATAATAGTCTTTCTTAAGTTTTTTATTCCAATTATTTAATTTATTCCTAGCAACTTGAAAACGTTTCCAGATGGACATATCATTTTTATCTTTGTTACCATGTTTACCATCAAATCGCTCTTTAAGATAATCTCGTTCTCTTGCGAGAGAAATGTAATCATCAGTTATCCATGGGGAAGGGTTCTGTCGTTGCCTAACGGAAACTATAGGTGCATGCTTATCACAAAGTTTCACAAACAAATTTACAAATATACTCCATTTGCTATCAATATTAGTGGTATCATAAATATCATTCCAATTCAATAATCCACCTTCATCCTGTATGGTCGGGGGTGGGGGGGGGGGTCTAAATACTTTGGTGACAGTGTCAGGATATGAATTACAACTTTTCTGGATTACCCCTGATCATATGAAGAACTTGATATTTACTATAATTATTGTAATATTTATAACATTTTCGCATTACGTTGCTACCTAATCTGTACCATAGCCATGTTGATTTATAATATCTATTTTTAATGGTTTGTATTTTATTTTTAAACGTTACCTGCCCTGCATGGACCAGTAATCGAGTCAAGTCCTGGGCTTTCCTATTATGTTCTCCTTTTCTTTGCATGTCAGTCATAATGTCTCTCTTCCTTCTTCGCTGAAGTATCAATAAAGTCATTTAATTACAAACAACTTGATTTGTTCAATCCAAAACGATGTTGCCGTACAACATTTTGCAAATCCATGTTGATAAAGCTACCAAAGAAAATCCAGCTTATGATGATGGTGAATATAATTCATTTTAAGATTCAATCTGTAGTAAATGCTTAACTGGGGTAATAATAAGATCACTGTTAATTTTTTTCTCGCCTGCTTAGCAAAAAGCGAGACATAGGCCGATAGGCGCCGTTTTTTTGGTGACGGTGTCGGCGACGGCGTCAACATCAAAAACTTAACCTGAGGTTAAGTTTTTGAATTTTCGATATAATTTTAAAAGTATAAGTTCTTAGTCAATGAAACTTAGACTATAGCGTTATCAAGTATCCCCAATCATGTGAGTAGAATTTCAGGTCACAAAGTCAAGGTCAAAGGTCATTTCAGGTCAACAGACTTAGACTATGTTGTGGCATCATCATTGAAAACTTAACCTAAGGTTAAGTTTTTGAAGTTTTGATATAATTTTGAAAGTATAAGTTCGTAGTCAATGGAACTTAAACAACACGGTTATCAAGTATCCCCAATCATGTGAGTAGAATTTCAGGTCACTAGGTTAAGGTCAAAGGTCATTTTAGGTCAACAAACTTAGACTCTTTTGTGGCATCAACATCAAGATTTTAAATTTTTAGCATATTTTCAAAAGGGTTTGTTCAAATTCCATGAAACTTGTACCCAAGGGTTATCAAGTATCACAAATCAATTGACACAATTTCCAGTTCACAAGGTCAAAGGTCATTTTTAGGTCAGTAGACTTGGATTATTTTTTCACAACCTAATATGAGAATTAATAATCAATTTTTGTTATTTGTTCATATTTCATTCAAGTTATTGATCTTGGTACAAATAAAAGTAAATAATTCTTCTGATGATTCTTAGTCAATATTCACTTCAAAAAGCTGATTATATTAAAAAGATTTCATTTTTTAGGGCCTGCCAATGGGCCACCCTGCCTATATTTTTGTATAAATAATGTTCCAACCTCAATTTTTCATCATATCAAATTGCGTAATGCGGGCAAGACCGCTGAGAGCGTTTCCCTTATTCCTTTCCTTTTGCAATTTGTTATTTTTCTTAAAACTTGATGTTGGTTTTTACTTTGTTTTGTACATTTTCAACAATATTTCACAGCAATTCAGTCATTTTTTAGGACAATTATGCCTATAATAGTGTCTTGATATATTTGCATCCCTTACAGTAAACCATCCAGGGGGGTGTTTCCTTAAGCTGTTTGTAAAGTAACGCATGACTTAAATATGAAAAGCCAAATGGGATACTCAATCTTTTTTAACTGCACCGCCTAAAGTTGAACTGTACAGATGTAGATTAACATTATTATTATAAAAACATTTTTAATGCAAATGAAATTTTTTGCCCTAGTTTAATTAAGGTTATTGGAAATATAATCACACTTTGTTAAAACATCAGGGAAAACTTTGGGCATCCTATTTGGCACTTCATATTCAAGTTGTTTGTAAAGTCAAGCGTAACTTTACAAACAGCTTTATGAAACACCCCCCCTGGATCTTGCTCTGTCATTTCTCCTGCTATCACAGGCCGAGGATGGAGACCTGCATACAGAGGGGTACCCGTGTCATTCGAGGACCTGACTGGACCTACAGGGACCAAGATGGAGGGAAGGGACATGCAGGAACAGTCCTAAGTCTGCAAGCTGTCTATCGACCCTACTTTGCCAAACAAACAGTGCTCGTCCAGTGGGACAATGGAGAAAAGGGTCTCTACAGGACTGGCTACAATCAGGCTTACGATCTCAGGATCCTTGAAACTGCAAAGTCAGGTAACTGCTGTGGTAACCCGACATTCGCTCCAGCGACAATAGTTCCTGGTTCTATTCTGTCAAAGGTATAGGGCTAAGGTCACATGGGTTGCAATTGGGTTTTAGGTTAGGTTTAGACTTAGATCTAGCATTGGTTGGATGGTCCTGGGAATTTTTTGTAAATGTTAGACTGACAGAGAGCAGGAGAAAATGCCATACAACCAATGCAGTAAATTCATCAAACTGTTTGATTTCCTAGAGTCCAAATGTGCTTGCTCAAAACTAAATATTAAAACCGATCAAGTCCTCTCCCCATTTAATTAACTTAAGATACTTGTTCCTTGTTTAAAGCTACCAAATTATAATTATTTTCCATGTTATCACTCTCTATGTGGAGTGAGCAGAGTGATAATGTAAATTAAATTAGCGTCTTAACAAATCTATAAATTGTAAAAAAATTGGAACTTGATAGAAGCTTGACAAGGTGGATAGTTGTATAATATTTGAAATATTTCTAGTCCCTCAAGAACGAAGAGGATGTCTTCGTATTTGGAAATGTAAAATACCGTATTTTCCGGCGTAAAGGCGGCAGTATTTTCGGGTGAGAAAAAATCAAAAAGTCTGGGTGCGGCGTATACGCAACAACAACAAAATTCAGCGGTCAAAACATCACGTCCATTTGCACGTATGGGACTATAGGAACGGTAGCATGACTAGACAACGGTACAGGACAATTCTAGAATAACTCCACACAACTTACTGACAAGTTTATGTTGCATAGTTGACATGAAGACGAAAAAACTTATTTTTCTAATAAAATCTGCCGATAGATCTAGATCTAAGTCCATACCATTGCATCGCCAAAAAGTAAACAAAGGGACAGGCCGTTACTTACGGAGCTAGCTGCCGCGCAACGCAACTGCGCAGGTCGAAAAATGCTATTTCGGATTACACCGCACATCGAGGAAGGGGTATTGTAGGATACCAAATCTGCGTACGATACAGTACTAGCTTAAAAGTCGATGAAGATCTGCTAAATTATGATCATTTTTGAGGTTAACTTCTTGTTGATTTATAAGAATATTGATGAATTTGGTATAGTTTGTAAAAAAAAAAGAGTGTTCTACAAGAAAATTACGATCATTTTGTTTGGTCTGTTTTTTTTTTCTCTTTTTTTTTTTTTTTTTTTTTTTTTTTTTTTTTTTTTGTTGTAGTTTTTTTTTTTTCCTCTACGAAATGTCAAAGTTGGGGGTGCGGCCTATACGGCGGTGCAGCCTTTACGCCGGCAAATACGGTATGCAGAATAAATGTATCTTATAAGGTTAATGAAAGTGTAAAAGTTGGGAATATTTTAATCAAAATGGATTGTTTAATTTACAAAGATCTGTATGAAATATATAAACAAATATAATTTAAAAAAGAAGAAGAAGAAATCATGAATCTCATTGAACTTTCAAGAAACTGTTGTCATGTTGTCTACAGGTCGTCATCTCAAAATCTGGTGTGATGCATGCAATCTGGAAGAGATCAAGGGCATAAGATGGAGATGCACCGAGTGCTACGCCTTTGACCTCTGCACGACCTGCTACATGAATGACGAACATGATCTCAGTCATGTCTTCATGAGAGTGATGTCCTCACACAAAACATCTAAGGGGTATGTGCAATCAATGTCTTTGTAATTTAAAGCCACACTGTACTACTTGTAGCTACTTGCTCCCTCAATAAAGAAAACTTCCCCAATCGGTGCCTGTTGGTCCCCCATGATCCTCTTTTTCTTATGTTAATTGAGAGCTGATTTGATGAGATAGCCAGGCTGTTCGTGATCACGCTGTGTAGTCTAATCCCTTCTGGCAAAACTAGTACAGATAGCCTTTAATTTATGTGAACAGTCAATCCAACATGAGACAAAATCATATAAAATGTCTGGAGGATATGTACCGTCTTTCCGTAGGACTGACAAAATCTCACCGGAGATACAGAAGTTTAGATTGAGATGATATGGCCATGTGGTCATGAGAGGGGAAAAACCCATTGGCTTCAGAGCACAGTGAATTTTCAAGTTGCACCTAAAAAACCTCATAAAAACCTGGAAGGAGATATAAGAGCATCTGGCCTCATCCAGGCAGATGCTGAAGATTAGAAGGGCCATAATGAAAATGAAATGTCCAACCCACAGCATAGGAAATACGGACGCTAAAGGATGATCATTGATCATCATCATAATTATATTGGATATAACAACAATGGGCATATCATTAAAAGGCTCATAATGGTATATTCAGACAACATCAACTATTCTAAAAGGGTTATGAATGTTTTGTCCAGCATGTTACATTTATTATTCACAAATTGCATGCAACATGGTGTAAATCAAGCAGACATACATGTACCTTTCATAGTTTATAGAAGGTTCTCACCTAATACTTTGTATATATTTGAACTGATACAGCATCAAGATGCTACCAAGATCATCATCTCCTCATATTCCTCTTAGAGGAAGTTTTCCTGGAGCGAAGGTTGTCAGACATCCCCACTGGTGCATGAGAAATAGAACAGGTTTGTTGCTTGATCAAAAAAAGAAATTGCAAGCTATAATCTATTCTGATGGTTGTAGCTTTAGAGATGAAATAGTACATTGTCGATTGATAATAAACAGAAATTACTTTTAATGACATGGTGTATTGCCATTTGCTTCACTGTCAATTCAGCCAATCAAATCGTCTACATACCCCAGTCCATGATGGTGGTCCATGAATTAATGGACTATTTTGTCTACCCTCATGTTCAAAGTGTACCAATCAACGAAGAAAAAATAAATTGTTTTTGTAGCTTAGTAGTTGATAATACTATATTCAAAATGTAATCTACAATATCAATTCTGTAATGAAATTGTTGCAAGTTTAAATACACTCTCAACTTACATAACAGTGGCTTGTGACAAAATCAGACCCAAGACCTACGGGTTCTTTTTGCGCAGTTTTATGTATTCTTTTTATTCTTCATACCCCTTATCCTTGTGGAAAGCCGGATTAGCTTGTTTTGAGGTTGATTTTATACTACCTGTCTTTACAATTTACTATACCCAGCCAAGCAACTTGGGAGAGTAGTCAAGACTGGACAGACACCGGAGCAAAGCATTGGAGTCCAAGCTGTGGTAGATTTCTCTTGTACACTAGAAAGCGTAGACTTCACTGAAATCATCTGCACACTGCCAGGGTCTGGAGGTCATGTGTATGACGGACACCTACCAAATCTAGGTGAGAATTAAAGTGTTCCGTTCCAGGTATCGTTCCAAAGTTGTTACATCTTGAAAACTTGTTAAATTGTTCAATCAGTCTTTTCAGTTGTATACACAGTGTGTAAAATAAACCCAATCTCTATAGGCAGGAATTTTGCTAGATACCCTCATACTGAGAATTAGTTGAATCATTAAAACAAACAAACAGAAAGAATGTTATGGCAAATGAAAATATAGCTGCAATACAAAGAACAAACTTGTTGAATTGTCATTGCTCTGTCTATGTGTAGGGGAACTGGAGACAGTGGGGGAAGGAGATAAAGTACTGGTAACTGCGACTCCGCCCGAAATGAAAGAACTTCATGAACGCAGAGGATTGTGGGATCCTGACATGGTCAAAGTAAGCGTACATCTTTCGTAATTTTGTCTTTTATATCATTTTGATGGATAAGCAAAAAAAGTTTCACCATAATGTTGTATAGCTGTATATTCTGTTTGCACTTCTATAGATCACTGTATGTTATATCATGACCTGGAAGTAAAAGTTACTTTCCCTATAGAAAGCAATAAACTGGACCAAAGACCTACAAATACAAACACATTCAATATCAACTATAATTTACAATCAGATAGAGTGTAAACATTTTAAAGGGACTTTGTAACTTGTTAAGATGAGAGAAAGTGGTGCTAACGTAGTGACTTCAACGCTCGATGTACAATTAAAGATAATCTGAAAATTTGAATGAAAACGGACCATTGTTAATGATACAAATTGGGAAAAACTGATCTGATCAATTCCTTAATTTTCCCAACTATATTATTATAATTTAATTACATTTTAGATGAATGTAAATTGTCACAAAGCAATAATTTGGCTCTACAAACCATTCCAGACATTTAAGTGTTGACAGATTTTGTATTGCCTGTTTTATGTCTTTTTTTCATGGAAATCGGTTGGGAAAATTCAAAAATGGTTGGGAGAATTTACTGTTGATCACTGTTAGAGGGTGTTGACCAGTGTCGCCTTCTTAGAAAACCATTAATATCTTTGTGGTTTGAGAATTTGTTCATGATTTTTTTCATGTTAGAGGGTTAGTACAGTAGAAGGAAGATGATAAGTAACATTTCATACCAAAATTACGCAATTCTATTATTCAACCTTCAACAATGTTACCAAGTCACTTTAATAAAGAATTGGAGAATTTGTTTCAATTTGTAAATTTTGTGACCTCACATCCCACCGCTGCCACCTTCTGAAAAACAACTGTTTTCTGAAAGTTAACATTTTCTTCTGGACCATTCCAGACCTTTACATCATCATTCACTATAGTGTGTTTGAAAAGTAAAACAACCACAGGGTATTCTACCTACCATATGTATGAGAAATGTTAGTTTTTCCAACTATGGTATGCAGATGAGTTCACCTAAAGTGAGTTGCTAATCATAGATCTTGTTTACATTTTGATGTTCAAATCAGTTTCAATGACTTTCCTTTGATACATAGACATGTGGCAGAAAAGGCTTTGTGAATAAGAGAACGAATACTGGTGACTTCACAGTGACTTTCCATGACACCCAAGAAACCTTCACTATGAATTCTGCAGCTCTAAGAAAGGTAACAAGGACTTCCATTGATTTATCTGATTTCTTTTTATAACTAATGCACAGAAAAGAACACACAAATAGCTGTTAATCATACTCTAAGAAAGCTTACAAAAATACATTTTTTTTATTGTGATAACCGTTGCACTGTCCTTAGTAGTACATAGAACCTTAAAAAGTGAATGCTTGAACAGAAATTTAGGTGAATTTGCCATTCAAATCAGCAATTGATGCAGTAAATAAAATAAATAATTGTCTTTACTCTGCAAAACACTTTTCTAAGCTTTCTTTCTCATCCCCCTCTAGCTTCATCGTTTCTGTCTTGGTCAGCTTGTCCGCATCAGTGATGACATCAAGATGGTCAAGAGATTACAGTTTGGACACGGTGGATGGAATCCAACTATGAAACAGGTGACTTAGATACCGGTGGCTTAGCAAAAAGCTGTAAAACACAAATCTGGGTTTTTGTCTTGCCTGCGTAGCAAAATGCAAGGCATAGGCGCCGCTTTTCCGGTGGCAGTGGTGGCGATGGCGGCGGCGTCAACATCGGCGGCGTCAACATCAAAAACTTAAACTTAACCAAGGTTAAGTTTTTGAATTTTTGATATCTTTTTCATTGGGAAGGCATGCACAGTTACATGGGGTGTGTTTCACAAAGACTAAGATCGACTTTAAGTTGGACTTAACTATTTCAGGCTGTTATGCCACTGTTTGCTCTCACCATTTACTGGCATTGGTCTCTCATGCAAGGGACGTACAAATCATGGTTACAAATCTACAGAATTTACCTTTTTATTGAAGGGAAAAATATTATCTAAAGATCATATTTGAGAGGCTAATGGTGAGAGCAAACAGTGGCATGAACGGCCTGCCATAGTTCAGTCCAACTTAAAGTCGATCTTACTCTTCGGCCTGCCATAGTTCAGTCCAACTTAAAGTCGATCTTACTCTTTGTGAAACACCCCCCAGGTCAGCCTAGCATTGAGATGTCACAAATACAGGTTTTCCAATATCCCATTGAAACATGCAGGTGTATTTCAGTGGGATACTGGTGAACTTGTTCTTATGAAGGTTTCATGAAATGATGCCTAGATGACTACTCTTGTTTATGCCTGCCTCAGAAAGTCAGGGTCAAGGTACGCAATAGATGATTGTTGATTGGCTACGTACATTATTTTGTTTATAATCTGCATTTATGACCGGTATGTATCCTAATAAATCGCATTCATTTCACCGGGATGGAAAGTGGCAAATGTAAATTAGGCCTTGCCAAAGGATTTAACTGCTGTACAAGGATATGTTTGTTTCCAATAAAAAGCAGTGGGTTGATTTTCTGTTGTTTTTTTTTTTTACAGGTAATCGGCAAAGTTGGGAAGATCGTTAAGATCGAGGGATCGGACATTAACGTCAAAACCAAAGACCAGACCTTCGTCTTCAGCTCAGCAAACCTGGTTCCTGCAAGAATCCCCTTTCATCGGCCGAAAGAACGATCCATGGCTGAATTCTGGAGTAAGTATTCAGCTGCAAATTAGAGATCTTTGTTATGTGGTAAGAATACATGTACAGATATGTGTTATATCCACTTTTGAAAATAAAATGGATTCCTTTCCTTTAAAGGGATTGGGTATCTTTGACTCAGATTCTGAGAAAAATCCTGGAATTAGCTCATTCTGCAATGATGATTACAAACCTTTAGGTCAGTCATGAACCCCATGACTTTTAAAACCTGATTTCCTGTCTGATTATCAAGATATTTATGATTGGAAATCGAAATTTAAAATTTCATTTTCCTAATGTTTTTTATAACACTACAGTCTATTGGGGAAATGAATATGGCACTTCATGATCATTTTGAAGCGCAATATTAGACCATACCACAGACACTGATAACACGTAGGGCCATGCATCTCAGATTTAAAGTTGTTAACGATGCTTTTAAGTTACCATGCCAGAAGCAAAAGCTTAGGTATCTGTCTCAAACGCATATTATTTTACCAGTCAAATCTTTTTAAAGAACATACTTTCAATTTAGTGACCATGTTAGAATCAAATCTCAAAAAAAAAAGAACATACTCTTTCACCGGTGGAATTCTTTCAACAACACATATTTTTATGTTTTATAAGTGGCAGAACAAAATCTCAATATACCTATAAAGGAAGAACATATCCTTTTACCCTTTATATAATCTTTTAGTGACCAGGAAAAAATCAAATCTTAGTGTACCATTAAAAGAGGAACAATAAGAATGACTGATTTTGGATGTTCAGTTCTGAAGCTAACTTTTTACAGTACATATACATTTTGTTTTGTCCTGATTATATAAAGAATAGTGGAATATGTGCTTCAAAAACGCAATACTTGATGGGAAATGTTATATGTACGAAATTGTTTCTGTGTCTTAGATATTGCTCTCCAAATGAGCGAGGCTGAAGTGGACATTGTAATGGCTGTAGCATCCGGTGATATCCCTCTCGTTAAGCGTATGTTAAAGAATCATCCAGAATTGGTTAGTATCATTATTAAGATGGATGGAAGGGGAACTCCTGGTAGTATCCATTCATTTTGACTGTGTACGCATGATATACATTTCGCTAAAAAGTGCTGATTTGGGGGGATGATTATGAAGATTAAATGAAATTTTTGTTTGAAGGAGTAAGAACCTGTGACTGGAATAACCAAGGCAAATTCTGCAAGAATAGGCTACTTTGAGCATTTTGTATCAGTTTTTAAGCAGATTGGAGTCATAGCTTGTGGAAACAGTCTTTAACCCTTACTGTACTGGAGGGGGGCCTGGGAGCCCCCCCCCCCCCCCCCCTAGACATTTTCGGAGATCGCGCCGCAACCGCTTGGAATTTTGAATTGTCGTTTCATGACTTTTTTCCCTCAAGTCTTGCGCACATTTTGATACCATTTTCGTCAAAATCGTATATACATACCTGCCAACCACCCCGATTTAGGCGGAGTTCCTCCGCTTTTTTCATACCAACTCTGAACTCCGAGTGCATGCCTCAAAACTCCGATTTTTTTTAATTTTTTTTTTTTTTTTTTTTTTTTTTTTTTTTTTTTTAAACAAACGACTGTTGCATAAGACTAAAGCATAACACAGCACTGATAACTAGATCACGCCGACATCCGCGCTCGCACTCATAGAAGATATACACAGCGCAGCCCGAACGTGATCGTTAGTTCCGCAGTCATTATCCATGTACTGCATGTACTAGTACCAGAGATGCCAACCCTCCCGATTTCATCGGGAGGCTCCCGATTTCATCGGGAGGCTCCCGATAATTCACCCCAACTTCCGACCTTACGATCCCCATCCTTATCCTCCCGATTTATTTTTTTTTAAATTTATTTATAAATGATTTTTTTTAATGTATATCTGTGAATCGAATGAGAAATATCGTCTGTTAACTTTAGCATGTAGTAATTCCACTATGGTAAAAGACAAATTAAGAGTAGCGAAAGATTGTTTCAGCATATGGATCGCCGTAACCAATGCGTGGAAAAGGCCCATTTGCACCATTAAAATGGAGAGAAAAAAAAATAGACCCTTAAAGTCCTGTGTACCCCCCCCCCCCCCCCCCCCCCCCCCCAATCTACGGGCTACTACCCCAATCCTTCGGTGGTTCGCGACCTCGTAGTCCATCCAGAAAAATTTACTCCTAATTTCTCTTGTCTCAGGTTGGCAGGTATGTATATACCTGTAAGGTGTTACATAACAATTAGTATGCGCATGTCATCAAAAAAGTGCTATAATTGCATATATTCATGTACAAGCAGAAATGTGAAGATATGAATTGATATCAAATTGCTTTTATATGTTTCTCAGAGTAACTTAATGTATTCCAGAACAAAAGAATACATTAGAAATAAAACAATAGATATAATAAGAAATAAAAAACAATAAAATACATAAGAAAATAAAAGTTGAAAATCGCATCAAATTTGCATAAATTATCATTATTAATTACATAAAATAACTATTTTGTGTTAGAAAAGAAGTTTCATATGAATAATGAGTTTCAACATTCAAAAAGTGGAGTCTGACAATTTTTGTAATGATTCTAGTTCCCTAAATATACATGTAGTTCTAGATTTGATATTCATGAATGCGTAATTTGCGTATTTATAATTTATGCAAATTAACCTATGCATTTTCAAATATCATAAAAATAATGAAACCTCATGAATTTGAGATGAAGGAAACATTTATTCAATACATTTTCAAGATTCTTCACAAGTCTACGGACAAATATGTAGAGTTTTCTGTAAAATGCATAAAATTAGCATTTTGCATAATTAATTAGGCTATAACGACAACAATTTGCATATTAGGAAAAAACTATCCATCTTGTTCCTTTCGTAAATATCTACAAATATGCAAATTTTCGTGTTCATTGGACATTCAACGGCCGAGATCATAGGGGGGGGGGGGCCTCCCAGGCCCCCCCCCCCCCCCCCAGTCAGAGGGTGCTCAAAATAGCCCAGTACAGTAAGGGTTAAAGTCCCCAAATGGAGAGTAATTTTCAACTCCTCTCACGATCATACATTCTTCAGTGACACCACCAGGAGTCAAGTCACCCCTCGCAAAGTTTGCTCGAATAAAAAGAAAAAAATGGCAAATGAGAGAGACAGATCATTGAATAAATCATTGAAATTTAAGGAGAACTCTTGATAGAATAAAGGATGAGACAGTTTACAAATCAAGATCAAACATTTTTTGGCAGCTTTTAATCCCTGTTACAGTGAACGACTTTCTCTTTAAGATGATGAAATTCCTATAGTTCAAGAAATCCTGTGTCTACAGAAAAAAATTGGCTAGTTACTGTCTGAATTGAATCAAATATGTTGACTATCTGTTGTAATCTTTTAATTGGTATTGATACCAATTCTTTGAATTGTAGTTTGTAATTGTACAATTTTAGGATTGAAGATGTACCTATGAACTGAAAGAAATGAGCATTGTCTGATGGGCACAGAAGGGTTTTAACTGATGAACTTTAATACAGAATGAACGCCTTTCTGGGGCTCAAGAGATGGCATAGAGGGCTTAATGTGGTTGATTATAAATTGAACATGCTTTAGCGCCACCTACTTAAAAGGCCACCTGTCTATAAAAAATATTAAAAATTTAGTTCCGCTCGAAATGATGCATCTCTTTTGAACATGTTTTAAAGTGAACTTCTCTTTCTCCCTTGAGTGGTCTTTCTACACAGTTTTGACTGTATTATCTATTTACTTTGTATACAGGTCCATCATGAGCCCAAACCGGGCAAAACGCTTCTTAGTGTTACGGTAGCCAACAAAGATGTGCGCATGATGAAGTTCCTGGTTGAGAAAGGGTGCTTCATTGAGAGCTACGATGAGAAAGGCTGCACACCTCTCTTCCTTGCAACTGATGTGTAAGACATCCTTATGTTTATTATCACAGAATAATTTAAATCAATAATCCTGTTTGCAAAGAGTCCTTACCATGAAAATCAGCAGTGGCTGCCGTTAATTGATGCACCAGTATGTGTAGGCCTGTATTTTCCGCTCTTATTGTATGAATTTTTCCAGATCAATTAAATTATGTGAAATTAAGTATTATTTACAGAAGTTGTAGCACATTTGGAGTTGGGGGAAACATGGGCACATTCACACGAGAGGAAACTACTATGCATAGAAACGTAAAAAGAAAGGCTTGTGACGACCATAGAACCAAAACAGTTTGAGCTAAATATTGGAGATCCTTGTATAGGAGTATAAGTATGCATATTAAAATGCCTAACCAACCAACACTCTTTATCAAACTATCGTTTGAATCAATTTCCAAATCTCTGTTTTGATATTTACATTTATGTCATTGTATCCTGTTTTTTATCTTCGATAAATATTTATCATGTTTTCTATATTTTTTTTCCTTCAATAGGGAATGAATTGAACATAGAGGTGTATTGAAAATGAAATTTTATTAATGTAGTTAATTACCATCATCTTTTTTCTAATCTGCATTTTCCCCATATTCCCGCAACATACCAAATGCCACATCACACCTGCACTCTCTCTGTGAATGAAACTCTTCCAAAATGAAGTAACAACTTTGAGGGCGTGCGGTTCCTTCTCGAGCAAGGTGCCGATGTTGATTCGGCCAACTGTGAAGGTCTGACCAGCTTTGCCGTGGCCTGTTCCCATGGGTCCTTTGAGTGTGCACACTACCTTCTCATGCACGGAGCAGATGTGAACATGAAGGTATGATATTTGTCTGTATATTTGTATCGTCTAACATGCATTTAAGTGCAGCGGTTTACAGCATCATATATGAATGAGCTTTTAGACATTAATCTTAAAATTGCAAGGAGGGAGCTATCATGCCCCCTTTCCTAATCCTACGGTATTCATGAAACTTAACATTTTAGGCATGCTCTGTCTATTAAAGGTACTATGTCCCATTTGCAGGCCAAAAAATGAAACGGTTAAATTCCAACGGCATTTGAAAGATAATACTAATTTAGAACTTTCCTAAAAAATGGGGGGCTTGAAAATGTCTTTAACTCTTAAGCTGCCCCTATGCAATTCACCCAGTGCCACAGTGCTAATCCCTATTGTGCCCGCTACTAATCTCCTGTGTGCTAAGTTAATTTAGGGTTGGTTCAAGTGCGTGTAGTTTAAATTGTTACTATGTTTGATCCACTATAACATCTCATCTGTATATTGTATAAAAAAGAATTGTACGTTAAAGTTGTAGGAAATTTAACCCTCTTTCTGTTGATACCAATATCATTTCATGAATCTGTAATTTTGGTAAAGTAAATAAGCACTATCAGTGAGTTGTCAAACCAATCCGTTGTCTCATTTCCCGCACACCATCTGAGGGGCCATAATCAAAACTGACAAATTTGATGATAAAATATCGCAATTTTCTCAGGAAAATCCAATGTAACGGTATACGTGAAGCACGCATAATCAAAACAACAATAAACCCCTTCCACAAATACAGTAAGCATTCATGCGTGCACGCAATGCGCATCGCACAATAGGCATAAACAATTAGCTTGTGTACTTATGCACGAAAATGTGTCCGTGGCACGCGAGCGGATGAGAGTTTATGTGTCCATGGCAAGTCAACAGAAACCCGATTATGTGTGCGTGGCACGCCAGCGCATGCACAGAACAGTGTTCTTGGCACGATAAGAGTTAAGTGGGAAAATAACGACTATCAGTTGTCGAATCGACTTAACCCTATTTAGCCCGGGCTATTTTGAAACTGCATAGGCCTTAGAAGCCCGCCCCCCCCCCTATGATCTCGGCCGTGAAACCCCCGATCGCAGCGAAAATTTGCATACATGTCAAGTGAAGTGTATAAAATACTATGGTAATTTCAATTTTTTGAAAAGTTCACTCATTTGCATATTTATGGTAATTTATGCAAATAAGGTCATAAAATTCACATTTTTGCCCATAAATCAGACATTATTCATATTTAAGCATTCTTTCTCACTACATATATTTGTTAGACCATTTGGAATAATAATACAACACAAAAAATTGAAAAATCAGGGTTATTCCTTATGTTATCTATTGTTTCGATAATTTCTTATGTATTTCTTTGTTTTTTTAACTTATGTATTTTATTGTTTTTTGTTGTTTTATTTCATTTCCAACTATAATTCAACTATTTTGACCACCAAATAAACACCTTAACTAAAAACAAGACCAAATAACCAATGTTTTATCTCTTTATTTGAAAAATGAGATTTCCATATGTTTTGTACACAAATCACAAAAAATGAGCGATTTTCGGGCTGACATGCAAAGACATAAGGACACGTGACATGTGACCGATTTTCGAAAAATTTCTTTCAAAAGATGCGCAAGACTCGAAAGAAAAAAGTCGCAAAATTTCAGTGCAAGATTTTCTTGCGTTAAAAAATTATCGCGAAAAATATCGAGGGGGGGGGGGCTTCTAAAGCCCCCCCGGGCTAAATAGGGTTAAGAGCTATAGAGCCAGTAAGTAATAGTCTGATTTTCAGACCATTGTACCGAATGGTCTTACATTTTATGCTGCGCAAAGATTCAATCAGTTTAATTTTGGCCATTACAAGAAGTGGGTTATTGATGTAGACAAATGCTCATGTACCCTTTACAGCTCATTTTATGTATGTTATTACCAAAGAAGAAAAAAAGCCAGTCAGTCACTAAATAGTGTCCGACAGTGAAGTCTAGCAAGTAAACGGGTTTCCTTGCATAATTTGAATATTAGGACACTGCTAACGTTTAAATTTCATAGATAGGACAAATTCCTGCAAAATTCTACAGAATGTGATGTTGGCTGCAAAAGGGACATAGTATCTTTAAAGTTGATGTTTATTTTAGCAGGCATTTTATGTGCAGTAGGCAGTAGCCTGAATTTACAATAATGTATAATCAATCGAACCTTGTAACACTTAATTTGTCAAGGACGACTAGACCACTGATGATGTTTTATGCTATCGTTATTATCATCATTACAGTCGAAGGATGATTATTTACCAATAATCCGGGCCATAGAGAACGAAGGTAGGACCATACTGGATCTCATTCTGGCCCGAAAGGAAATAGATCTGAAGGCGGTGTCGACATCGTTATTCATGTCTTCAATGCATTATGCCGCACTGGGAGGCAACACATAGTGAGTGCAGTCTATCCTTCCATTTATTAATTTTCCAGAGCCTTATTGAGGAGATATAATTTGTGGTCTGTTGGTCCTAACTGGAATTAGATCATCTCATACCTGCCCCAATCGACTCATTTTCATGATGCCTGTATGTTTTTGCCAGACACTTTATATGAGGCAGATTAAGAGAGTAGCTTTATGTGGTGATTGGAAAAATGTCAGCTAGCTCCAGTATGCCAGTTTGCATCTGATGAAGGTTTCTGGACCATGAACATAAAACTGTCACATCTATCGTAAATCTCTGTGTATAAGACACATTTTTTCCCGCCGAAAACAATTTGAAAGTCAAGTTTTTGGGGTTTTTTTTAAGTTTCGAATTATGCCCTCCACCTGGCACTGTGCCTGGCAATGTCCTCCAGCTCAGTCATACCGCTCGGAAACTATAACAACACTACCTAAAAATTGGCGCCTCCAACTGCACCTCGCAGTAAAATGAAGGTCCTTTCCCGCATGGGTTTTTGGCCCAAAAAATAGGGGTTCGTCTTATACACAGAGATTTACGGTATACACTTGTGGGACGTGTCATGAGACTCTTTTCTGATACATGGGATATAATTTTGCCTGCTCTCACCCTCCTACACATAAAGTTGAAACTTAACCCCTTTTTCCCCATTTTCAAATGGTTGCCATGGTTACAGTGCCCTTACAAAGCTCATGGAGAAAGCACCTAGGATGGTGGAAGCACAGCAATGCAATGGAAATACTCCCATCTTCTGTGCCGGGTATGCAAGCTCCCTGAAAGCAACTGAAGTACTCATCAAAAAGGTAGGGCTTTGTAAAATATCATTCAAATTTAGCCTTATATGTGGAGCATCACCATAAAGATCTTGCCTGCACACTTTACTAGGTGCTTGACTGCTCTCCATTAAGGCAGATTTTCTTCTAAAAACCTTTTCACTGCATTAAATGATGTATATGTTCAGTCTATGGACAGATATATATTCTGAGCACAAGCATTTTATATGGCAGTATAGAGCTTAGAAACTACAGAGTATTGAAATGCTAGTAAATAGAAATGATATTGGTCAACTTAAGATTTTGTAATTACACAGTACATATGCAGTCATGGAAGCGATAATCTTTCTTAAGCCTACCCTTTCCTGAATTTTACCTGATATAAGTTTGAAATCAGTGTGTCAGCGAACATTCTGGTAACAATTGCTCTGGGATATATTCAATCAAAGATTGAGGGTGAGGGTAATTGTTTCACTTTGGTTATAGGTTAGGTGTGGGGGGGGGGTTAGGTTTCAGGGTTTGTTAGGGTAAGATCGAGGCTTAAAGATGCTGCTTAGGAGCAGGTACAGCCTGGAAATCACATGGTTATTTTTCGTTCCAACAGGGCCACTGCAATGTGAATGCCCAGACAAACGGAGATCAAACATGTCCGCTTCATCTGGCCTTATACAAAGAGAACTTCCACTTGATTGAAGTCTTGATGAAGAATGGTGCCAATGCCAACATCACCATCCGTGCTGGGGACTCCTGTTTACAGATGGCCTTTGACGTTCTTGATTCCATTGAATCTGAAGAAAGATGTATCAAAGAGGAACCCTTTATGTCAGAGGTTTGTGACTTGTTACTGTTAAGGCACAATGTAAACAAAATTTCACTAGTATTATTGTTTTTTAAATTACTTTCATCATTGTTATTATTTGTAGTAGTAGTAGTAGTAGTAATATGATAGTTATTATTATTATTATTAGCAGCAGCAGCAGCATCGTCATCATGATCATTACCGATATCTTCATTATTATTAGTTTTGTTGCTTTTATCATTGTTGTTGTTCGTCTTCTTCTTCTTCTCCTCATTCTTCTTCTACTTTTTCTTGTTATTTTTGTTCTTCTTGAACTTGTTGTTCCTATTCACGTCATTATGGTTTAACAATATGATCATGATTATTATGAATAATTTTTCAAAATTCACCTTTGTTATTGCCTTGGAAGCAGATGAAGAAGAAGTGGGGACATGTTGGTATCAAGACAAATGGAGATGCCCTTCTTGCCTATCTTGTGTCTCATGGTGGCGACCTGGATGTGTACAACTGTGATAACATCACGATACGGGAGTCACTTCAACTGAAGTCCAAAGATGCCCTCTTGCGTTCTCTGGATCAAATACAGTCTCTTACAAGGTACAGTCAAACCTGCTTTAGTGACTACCTGTCTACAAAGACCACCTGTCTATAACATGCACATTTTTTGTTTCCCTTGAAAATGGTTTCTCATTGAAACATGTACTGAACGAACCTGTCTACAAAGACCACGTTTTCTGTTTCCCTTGGGCGGTCGCTGTAGACAGGTTTGACTGTATGAGGATGAATCGTCTTGAATAATGATGATATAATAATGAGGTCTGTTTTATCAAGGGTAGCTATATCAATATGAATACCGCTCTTCTCGAGAGCCCTGCAGTGATTATCACCCCAGCAATTGGATGGTACCCATTTACACCTGGGTGAAGACGGGTAAATGTGGATTAATGTGTTGCCAAAGGATGTTAGTGTCAAGCTGGGATTTGAACCCTCAACCCTGGGTTTGAGATTCAACCCAATGAATCGCTATTCAATATACACTATACACTCCTAGATCTAGTGATGGATCTGAATAGATTGAATATCCCTCCAATCAATCGCAAATTAACAATTGCCCATCTCTTATAAACAGTGTTGCAATCGGTATCAAACTATTAGTTCAGTTTTTAATTGTTCATAAGACTTGGCCCTGGTCTTAAATTATTCAAATTTCATACACAGGTACTCGTGACCCTCAGGAATGCCTGACATGGTAACAACTGAAATCTGCATCCTATAATTTACTTTAAAGATTCTATGTTTATTTCACGTGATAGAGAATCATTAGTTTTTTAACATGCATTAGTATGCTTCAGTTTAAGAATTTTGTAGAACCAAAATGAATGCTGGATTACTTGAAGCTTATTAAGATGTGAACGTATTGCACAAAAATTATTACAACCTCTCAAATGCTTTCAGGAAAGACATTGCCAAACAACAGAGCACAGCCAACTATCCCCCGTGCATTCTGACCAAGAACTGTCCAGGCACTGTTGCTGAGGCCGAGCATGGGTGTTCTGTCTTGAAGAAATGTACAGCTACACCAGAGACGAAGAAACAAAGCGCAAGTAAATCTTCAGAGAAGTCGTCAACAAGTTCTGCCAGACCAGTTGCAAAGACACAGAGTGCAGGAATGTCTTCTGCCAGACCAGTTGCAAAGACACAGAGTGCAGGAATGTCTTCAGAGAAGTCGTCATCAAGTTCTGCCAGACCCGTTGCAAAGACACAGAGTGCAGGAATGTCTTCAGAGAAGTCGTCAACAAGTTCTGCTAGACCAGTTGCAAAGACACAGGGTGCAAGAGTGTCTTCAGAGAAGTCGCCAACTAGTTCTTCCAGACCAGTTGCAAAGACACAGAGTGCAAGAATGTCTTCAGAGAAGTCGTCAACAAGTTCTGCCAGACCAGTTGCAAAGACACAGAGTGCAAGAATGTCTTCTGAGAAGTCGTCAACTAGTTCTGCTAGACCAGGGACAAAGATACAGAGTGCAAGAAATGCCCCAGAGAAGTCGTCAACAAGTTCTGCCAGACCAGTTACAAAGACACAGAGTGCAAGTATGTCTTTAGAGAAGTCATCAACAAGCTCTCCTAGACCAGGAACAGAGATAAGGAGTGCAATAAACTCCTCGGGGAAGTCGTCTATGAGTTCAGGAAGCCAGCAGAAATCAGCCGGGAAAGAAACCACAAATGCTTGTGAGAGAGGAGCAGGGGACAGCAGTGCACAAAACTCCAAAAATAAGCCTTCAGACACAGGTTTGATATACCAATCATACTTACTTTTTTAGTAGTCATAGATATATATATAGATGCACTGTCTATAACCCCCCCCCCCCCCCCCCCCCCCTCCCAAGAAAAGACAATCCAAGTTGGGAATGTCTGTCCAGATTGATAAATCTTTTTTTATACTTCAAATAGACTGTTTTCCTTTGGGGATTCCCAATTTTTCCATAATTTCAAGATATGCAACATTAATAAAAATCTGTCTTGTATTAAACATTTCATGTTTGAGACATTAAATCACAACTGAGTGAATATGCAGTAATATGAGATTTTTTTTTTAAAGAACGAGGTACATATATGTCTTGAAAATGCAGCAATTCTGAATGGGTTAATTAGTGTAATAAAAAGTCATGACAACACAGTAATCTATATTTTACCCCATTTGAGTAACACTGCAAGCCTTTTTTTGTTTTAGTTATTCATATACAGTTCATCTCATTTTTCTTTTGTTCCCTTAGATGAGTGTAATCGACTACAAACTGAACTCCAGCACAAAAATGACCAGCTGAAAGTGCTTCGGTCAAGGGTCGAGACACTGGAACACCTGGTCAAGAAGAAAATCTCCTTCGCTTGTGGTCATGATGTTACCCGAAGCATTGCTGAGCTGATCCCTGAATGCCCAAATTGCAGCGAGCCAATAGCATCGGTTGTTGATGCCCATTAACAGTCACCATCATCTGCCCAGAACCCATTGCTTAGGCTCTTTATAAAGAGTCCAGGAATCCAATAGCATCGGTCGTTGATGCCCAATAACAGTCGCCAACATCTGCCCAGAATCCATTGCTTAGTCTCTTCATAAAGAGTCCAGGAAGCCAATAGCATCGATTGTTGATGCCCGATAACAGTCGCCATCTTTTGCCAAGAACCCATTGGTTAAGTGGTATATGAAGAGTGCAAGAATCCAATAGCATCGGTTGTTGATGCCCGATAAGATTCGCCATCATCTGCCCAGAGCCCATTGCTTAGGTTGTATATGAAGAGTGCAGGAATCCAATAGCATCGGTTGTTGATGCCCGATAAGATTCGCCATCATCTGCCCAGAACCCATTGCTTAGGTTGTATGAAGAGTGCAGGAATCCAATAGCATCGGTTGTTGATGCCCAATAACAGTCACCAACATCTGCCCAGAACCCATTGCTTAAGTTGTATATGAAGAGTGCAGGAATCCAATAGCATCGGTTGTTGATGCCCAATAACAGTCACCATCATTTGCCCAGAACCCATTGCTTAAGTTGTATATGAAGAGTGCAGGTATCCAATAGCATCGGTTTTTGATGCCTAATAACAGTTGCCATATTCTGCCCAGAACCCATTGCTTAGGTTGTATATGAAGAGTGCAGGAATCCAATAGCATCGGTTGTTGATGCCCAATAACAGTTGCCATCATCTGCCCAGAACCCATTGGTTAAGTTGTATATGAAGTGTGCAAGAATCCAATAGCATTGGTTGTTGATGCCCGATAAGATTCGCCATCATCTGCTCAGAACCCATTGCTTAGGTTGTATATGAAGAGTACAGGAATCCAATATCATTTGTTGTTGATGCCCGAGAAGATTCGCCATCATCTGCCCAGAACCCATTGCTTAGGTTGTATATGAAGAGTGATCTGCATTAAAGTACAGTTGACCTCATATGTTATGTTTTACTAGGTTGCATCTAAGAATAGCATAATTCATGTATTCATTTTGAAAATGAACAGGACTTGAGAAGAAGACAAATACAGTATTATTTAATGCCATTTTGAAAGCTGTAACAACAAAATACTATGAGTTACCTTTCCTTATTGAATACCAGCACATTGTTTCTTTATGCATTCTCATAGCTACAGTGTATGAATGGAAATACATGTTTAATTTATATGTCAATGCAGTACTTATGAAAGTTGTTCTTATTTTAAGAATTTGACTCTTGGCTATCATTTCATGTTGATTCAAATACAGAAAGTCTTTCAAGTTTTCTAACCTTATGACATTTCACAAAATATTTCTTTAAATGTAGAATTATTTTTAATCTTTTCTATATAGTGTTCCTACATGTATAGTGTAGGGCTTTTCTTGCCGGGGGGGGGGGGGGGGGGAGGCAAATGTAATGCAACTTTCAAGAAAGATGATACATCATGTGGAGCGTAAGTCTAGAAGACCGAAAGGTTAGAGGGGTACACAGATTATTGTCTTTCACATTGTCTATATGACATATCATTTATTTGGTTATACACAAGTATGTTGAAACCGGAAGAGTATGATTTCACTTTTTTTGCAGTTGGATTGGCAGAAAAAGAAAAAGAGATAAAAACACACAAAATGCAGTCATACCGTTGTCTTTCTCTTCCAATTTTGACAAAGCCCAAAGCAGTTTACAAATTGCAGCTCTGCAAGAGTGAAGGTACAGTTTGTTCACAGTATTTGTATCATTTTCACATTGTGGTGACATGTAATCTGTTGATGCATATTGTATAGAGTAATTTGTGATAGGGAGAGAAGTAAGAGTAAAGTCTTCATAGTAGTAGTCGAAGAGGTTTGTATTATCTATGGTAATAGAAGTGGTAGTAGTAGAAGTAGTGGTACAAGTAATAGTAGTAGTAGTAGTAGTAGAAGTAGTGGTACAAGTAATAGTAGAAGTAGTGGTACAAGTAGTAGTAATGGTAGTAGTAGTAGCACCAACATTTATTATTGTACTTCTAGTACAATAGTCAAAAGAAACATGCATATATGCAATAACTTCAGTACTATGGTATTGTTGTAATAGAAGTAGCATTAACAGTGACAGTATTATTCATCACGTTTTACGATACAAGTATATAACCATGTTATTTGTATCATGGTTATAGTGATAGCTATAGTAATTTAGTTTTGTGGTTACAGTTACATTTTACAATAATACTTCCAGTACTTACAGTCTTCCTGTCTAATCGCTGTCCTAAAAATGAAAGTATCACCTTGACTGCCTTATTCTTAAGTCTTCACTTCATAACACCTTCCAATGCAATGCTGATGTCTATGTAAAGTTCATTTTACTACGTCTTCCACGTTTTACTTTGGTGCTGCCATTTCATTTTGTAAGAAAAATACATGATATACATACAACTGTTGTATAATAAAGAACTATATAAGTTTGTTTTGTCATACCATATTGTGAGAGTTTTGTTTTGTATTTTCTTCTTTTTCTCGTCCCTAACAATTATGGAGGGTACATGTACCGGTATATGTTTTTTGCTTGTGTATATATATTATAGTTTGATTCTGTATGCTGTTTGTATTGGTCTGTTGTGGTCTTAAATGTTCTTTGACATGTTCTGGGACCCGTTTCACAAATGATAAAAATCAGTGACAAATCTGCTGATAACCAATCAGAAGCAAGGATTTCAGTAGCTTATAACAAAAACTATTTGTCACTGATGACAAGTTTTGTGAAATTGGGACCCTGGGCCGGTATTCAATTCAATACTAAGCATAAGTAAGAAATTTACTAAGTAAATGGCTAGGTTAAGTAATTTACTTATCTCGTATTCAAATCGCATTTTAGACTCATACTTACGTAAGACAAAATCTAAGTAAAATACTTACTGATAATCATTGTGACGTCACACGGTCAATCAAAATTAATGCGCAATTGATGCATTGCAATAAATGCGCGCTGATATAATTGTGCGAAGGCTTTAAAGGTACAGACCCGTATTGGAAACGCCCCAATTTCAAAAAATGAAATGGAAGCTCTTATACCAATCATGTGAAAGAGTATGTTTTGACTAATACATGATAACAATTTTGCCGAGAAACCGCCTACTAATTGATATATTTGGTAAATTAGTTTATCTATTGGTGTGTGAGAGATAAACGCATGTGTCACGCACATGTGCGTAGTCCCATATACATCTTTCTGTGTACAGTGCTTGTAACTTTAGGAAGACTGGGCCAAATTTCCTATCATTTTGATGATTCCAGAACCTTGCAGTACACACCAATACTAATATGCTACATAATCAACCTTTTCTAATCGATTCCACAACGTTTCTTTCACAATGCAATCGCATGACCATAACTGGTCTTTACTGCGTAAGAAAACCATGTGGCTGCCAATCAAGGCCCCCAAAATATTGGCTTAAGTCTGGTATGGAGTTGGTTTAGATTTAGAGTTAAATACTTAGCCAAAAGTGTAAATTCAATACCAAAATTGGCTAAGTATTTTATCTAAGCTAAATACTAAGTAAAAAGCTTAAATTTTGTACTTAAGTATTGAATTGAATACGGGCCCTGGCCTCTAACGTGAAAAGCAACAATTATCCTCAGAAAGAGAAGATAAAGTTGAGCTCTGCTCGTTCAAATTTCTTTTTTAAGTAGCTGTCTGCATGGATTGTGGAAGCAATTTGTGAAAGGTCCATTGAACTGGTGTAAAAGTGTGAGAGGTAAAAAATAATTTTCGCCAGGCTCCAGTTAGTTATGTAGTGTATTTGGTGTATGCTGTGGGGTTTCGGGATTGATTAACAAATCTACTCAATCTTAATGAAAAGCACATAAACTGCACACAGAAATGGGTATATATACTGCAGGGGCGGGTGGCCGGCCTGGGAAATAAATAGATAAAAACACGTCAATTTTACCCTCGTTGAGCACCAAAACAAATCAGTGCTCACTAATTGTGTCTTTCAATGTGCTATCTTACTTTTCATTTCATTAAAAATATCTAACCACTCAGAATGCAAAGGAAGAAGAGGAACGGTCATCAATGACGACGAGCGAGTTATCGAGAAGATAACACTCGAAGTCCGCTTCGCGCTCAGAGGGAAACTCTACGGCTCTTCATCGTGGATAGGTGTGGGGACACTAGTGTGTCGTAAGAGAACGATACATACTATATAAATGATCCCTAAAAGTATGATCTTAAATTTTAAAGCAGAATCTCTTTAAATATATGGAAGAATTAAACATGATAAAATATGGTTTGTAACAAAAGGTCCCTGCGAAATACCGAATCGAGGGCCGGTAAAAGACATTTATACTTTATTGAAGAGTTACAACTTGTATCATAATAGTAATCAAAAAGTACTATCATTTTATATATGCCTCGATATTTTTTTTCGAAGATGAAGGTAAAGTGAAATCTTTGGTAGACGCTTGGAAGAGCTGGAGGAGAACACTGTTGTATGATGAATATTCATTAATTAATTATCATTCAAATTTGTTTTGAAAGCAACTGTCGGGATTGTGGAAGCAATTTATGAAAGGTCGATTGATTTGGTGTAAATATGTTAAGAGGTAAGAATGTCAGAGGTAATCATAATTTTCGCCAGGCTCCAGTAAGTTATGTAGTGTATTTGGTGAGGTTTCGGAATTGATTAACAAATCTACTCAATCTTAATGAAACTAATGAAAAGCACATGAACTTCACTCAGAAATGGGTATATTATGAGAGGACTACACACATAATATGGGTCATGACCCTTTGGTCAAAACACTTCAGCTATTTTGGTCATATCTGTCATATTTTTAATATAAAGGCATATAATAGAGCAATCCTTTTTAGGTGACATTTCTATTATGTCAGTCTACAACTGATATTTAAACAAAATGACTCGTAAGAACACAAACTATTTTTCACTTTTTACCAGAACTCGATCTTCGTTTTAAAGGTTTGATAAACTAAAGACATGCAGCCTGTCATTTAAAGCAAGTTGGTAGTTAACATAGTGGGGTTTCATCTGCGCAATTCCAAGTGTAACAGTACAACATTCCAGAGAGAAAATTTTTGAAAAATGTAGACATTTTAATTAAAAACTCTACAAATTCATGCTTTTGGATACAAACTAATATGAGGTTCTTGCCCTATAGTTGAGTTTCCAATCAACCATTCCTCAAATTTATAAAATATTGCAATTTAGGTAGCTTCGTTACAAAAAAACAAAATCGTCATTCCGTACTAAACGTACATATTTGAATTGAATATTTCAATAATGTAATAAATGGGCTAATGTGATTTTTTTATTTTTTTTTTAATTCAAAATGTCTTGTATAATATATTTCTCATTCAAGGTAGAAAGCTCCCTGGAAATGCCATTCCGTACCGTTGGGAATTGACCATTTTGGTCTTCACGGTGGGAGTGTTGTAGAAATGTGCATCTCCGTTGAGCACCAAGTAAAAATCAGTGCTCTCTAATTGTGTCTTTCAATGTACTATCTTACTTTTCATTTCATTATAGAAAAAACTAACCACTCAGAATGCGTTTCCCTCCTCCTTTTCCTCGCGAAGGAAGAAGAGGAACGGTCATCAATGACGACGAGCGAGTTATCGAGAAGATAACACTCGAAGTCCGCTTCGCGCTCAGAGGGAAACGCTACGACTCTTCATCGTGGTTAGGTGTGGGGACACTAGTGTGTCGTAAGAGAACGATACATACTATAGAAATGATCCCTAAAAGTATGATCTTAAATTTAAAGCAGAATCTCTTTAATTATATGGAAGAATTAAACATGATAAAATATGGTTAGTAACAAATAGTTTCCTGCGAAATACCGAATCGAGGGACGGTTAGAGACATTTATACTTTATTGAAGAGTTAAAACTTGTTTTAAAATAATGATTCAAAAGTAATATTTTTTTTCTGGCCTGGATGTTATTCTTAGATTAGGGTAAAGGTGAAATCTTTGGTAGATGCTTGGAAGAGCTGAAATAGAACAGCCTTATGATGAATATTCATGATATTGTTAGTCTTTGATACCAGACAATAAACCTGTTTCAAGTTTTCTCGATCCATTATAGGATGCCAATCGTGAAACCAAACATAGTTACCTATGCATCGATAAGTTGTCATAAGTATTAAAAATGTCCATATTACATTATTTTTGGACTGTAATTGTTTTTCGTAGTTTTTTTCCTCAGATCGAGGAAACTATTTTTTAATCGGAGTTGAAAAGAGAGGCTGGATCGGAACAGCTATATGATGAATATTCATGATTTTGTTAGTCTTTTTTACCAAACTTTAGCCGAATTCCAAGTGTTTTATTCTGTTATTTTGACGTTACTCCTGGATTTAACTAAGTTACATAAACATATCAGTAGATTGTCATCATGTAGTGCCTCATCTTACCGTACTGTGATCTATTTATTTTAATTCTAGATTGAGGTAAGGCTGATCTGTTTTTCCTACAATAAGCCAGCCGAGCATAGATCTAGAGAAAGAACTCATGGTGAATAGGCACCATGGTTTTCTTAGTCTTTTATACCAGACTTAAGTTGAGTAACATGAAATCATTTCCTCAGGGTTTCGAGTAGTCCAGATTCAGTCCGTTCGTTCTTTTTATCCCCCACACACAGCGCGGTCTCTCCACTGATCGCGCAATCCCCAAATTTCCGTCCACACGAACGTATTCAGGACCCAGATTTAGGGGAATGGCTAGGTCTACTTTCAACGTTGAGGGTGTGTTATTTTATCAGCTGATTGGGTGCGCTAAACGAAAACGGTACAGAGGCTGGACTAGGTTTCGAGCCGAAACATGTTTTTGTTAACATTAGCCTGCTTAGGCCTATGGCTGTTCATTGGCTTTTTTGAGGTCATATGGGTAAATTGTAATTGCCACCGATTGACAATATGCATGGTCTCATTTACTAGATAGTTTATTCCTCAGCACTACATCCTGACTTATGGATCCTGCTGAGTATCGTCGTAGAAGTAGAAGTATAATGAAATTATAATCAAGTAATTTATTTGGTTATTAGGAATTTTATTGGTGATATCATAATAACAACACCACAATCAGAGCAATTTCGTGTATATAGACTTATATCTGTATTAATTGTGGTTCTATATACCCAGGTCTATATACTGGAGTTCTGGACTAAAATTAGGCTAATTGGGCGACCTATATCATTCTAATTTTGAACAGCTATAGACCCTATATATATTTTTTTTCTTCTCCCTTTCTTTCTTTTTTCTTTCTTCTCTATAGTCTATTCTCTTCAGTATTTTCTTCTTCTTTCTCTTACCGGCCCTCATAATAGAGAGAGAGAGATCGAGGGGGATCGAGAGAGAGAGAAAGAGAGAGAGGGAGAGAGAGAAAAAGAGAAAGGGAGAGAGAAAGAGAGAGATAAAAAGAGAGAGAGAGAAAGAGAGAGAGAGAAAGAGAGAGAGAGAGAGAGAGAGAAAGAGAGAGAGAGGGAGAGAGAGAGAGAGGGAGAGAGAGGGAGAGAGAGGAAGAGCACTCGTTGAAAAAATATATTTCGCTGCTTCAAAACTATATTTGTGCGCGCGTGTACGTACATATAGAGCGTGCATGCAGCGTCTTCAGCCAATCTCGTAAACATGGCGTCCGACACTGAGGTAATTTTCTTACATTTAAAAATGTATTTTAATACGCTTGCATTGAATATAATTACATTGCCACTCTCTTAAATGAAAGTTTTGTAATGTAGCAATAAGTTTTCTGAATAGTTTTGAGAATTCTCAAGTTCATTGCAAATGTAAAGCCTAAAACTAAAGGCCCATTTTATTCGATTTAGAGTCTATTTCACGGGTGTTTTGTTCGACCGACGTTCTCGTAGCTAGACGTATTTCTACGTTACATTCAATTCCTGCGTTTGTGCGTTTTGCAATGCCAATGGAGCTGCAGTGCTATTCAATTCCAATGTTGACTCGATGTTACAGCCGCTAGCGCTAGCCGGCGGCTTAGAGAAGTATGAAGGGGTGACCAAAGCACGTAGAACTTTAGCTTAAATTTAGCGCATGTGCACAACGTTCATCTGATCTCATCGAATTTAACGTTACAGCCTCATTTTCCTTATAAAAAATTCTGCCTCAATTTTAGTCAAGATTAAGGACCATTTTTTATTTTTGCTGACGTTTTTTTGCATTAGCGCCCTGCAGTGCAGGTTTCGGGTTTAATACTGAACCGCCAAAGATTTATCGTTCCTAAATGTGAAAGTCTGTACAAGTCAATGTAGATCTAAGTTAGAGTAAGACCGCCAAACTTCGGACACTTAGTGACTTAAGACAAAACGGGGGAAAACATTAAATTCTTTTTTTAATTATTGAAAGATCAAATAGTCTATAGACCTACTATTATTGTGCAAATACTGTTTATGTATGTCATGAAAAGAAAATTAGTAAAGGAAATTGAAAACTAGAATTATTTACTTACCCGCCGAACCTTTTTTCATGCCAAGCTACAGATGGCAATATTCATTTTCATGTTCACTGTTTCAGAGGTACAGTAGTTTTCGGCCTGCAAAAATGTCTTTACCAGGATGAGCGATGACTTCCCCAAGCCCAAGGGACTTGTCGCTTGTCAAGGAAGTTGTGGGCTCATCATGACTGGTTTTGTGAAACACTTGGTGACTTAGCTTAGCCGACAAGTCACATTTTTTTCAGAAACTACACAAAATTTGCGATCTTTTGACAATTTCTTGAATACTCCTATCCAATTTTATTGATTTTTTTTAGAATTAGAGCACTCTCCTTGGCTTTGGTGGTGACAAATTTGAAATATTGCAAAATTCAAAAAAGCATGTCGTCTACATTGTATGAACTTTGGGCCAGGTCGCTCGTGAAATATGGCCACACTACCATACTATTTTTCTTCATATTATGGGATGTATTTTCTAAGTCACTGTCTGATATGTTAATTTTTCTCTTGTCATTCCAAATTACAGGATTTGGAATTAGAATCTCTAAGGTCTGCTGTACTTGCATCGCTGAAACCAGTAAGTACCAATGTGTTGTACACTGTATGTCCTTGTGTGTGTGTGTAAAATTTATATGGAACACAAATGAATTTTGAATATGAATGAATTTATGAATATTGCCAGGTGATATGAATTAATGATAAGATCGTGTCATTAAATTGTGTTTTATTTAAAAATCTACTTAAAATTGACTTTGGGACTCTTTGAATTCTCTTTTTCTTTTTCTTCTTTTCTGCCCCACTGTCTTCACCATTCGATAATTCAGACCTTCATTTCTAAGGAGCGCGATCGCGCCGGCGCTCCTACAGCGCTCCTAAAAAATAATCAGGAGAGTTGTTTACAGCGCTCCTTGGTTTCAATGTTTTCCTTCAGTTAAAAATCCCGTTTAGGGTGCATGTTTGTGGCCGATCGCACCGGCAAAATTGTCAAAAAATCGCCATTTTAAGCTTCTAGCAACTTGTCAGTCATTCTCCGAAACAATGCATGTCCTACTAAATATTCATGAACACTATAACTTCGTCACAAATTTCAACCACTTACATCGCCAAGCCTTCGATTAAGCGGGCGCAGGGCGCAAATTTGCGCTCATAAAACCACCAATTGCGCCCATATTCATCTAAAACTAGACGGCAAGGCGCAAGTGTTTGCTGTGAAAATGCGCCCATAAATTATTAGAACAGAAAAAATACACGAATGATTCGTAAAGGGCGCATTTTCACGGAAACACTTGCGCCTTATAAAAGCACTAAATACGAAGCTAGTAGAGAGCTCACGCGGCAAACTGTTCGTGATTCGGAATCACAAACAGTTTGCCGCGCAGGAGCTCTCTACTAGCTACGTATTTAGTGCTTTAATAGGCACATGTGTTTCCGTGAAAATGCGCCCCTTTGTTTACGTAGGCCTACGTACGATCAGATCATGCGATCGCTAGATGCTGCTGTGGCGCTGGCGCACGCATATACGTACGTACAAATGTATCGAAGGATCAAGACAACAAATCGTCTAATGGAGAAATAAACAAGCATTCAAATAGTCATTAGAGATCTGTCGAGGTTTGTTTGTAGTTCTAGTTTATTATTTCATCTTGAATAGAATTTAGAATTATCTTATTGATAAGTTAAGAACACCTACGATATTCTCGATCGTAGCTACTCTCTTTTTGCCAGCAGCCGACCTAGCGTTGTTTCGGCAGAAAGCTAGCCGGCCAGCTTCCCACGACGAACCTTTCGAGTCCCGGTAAAATTGCGCGCTGCAAAACTCCGAAACTGCATTGGTCTCGTTGAAAAACTCCAGCCCGCTCGCCTCACACGACGGACCATTCGTGGTATGGTGAGAGTGTGTGTGCGAGGTACGATTTTGGTTTCGGGAACGCACGTTACGCAACTTCTTCTTATTTCTTTGGTTATACAACAATTAAAAAGGCAATTTCTTCAAATTTGCTCCTACTGCCGAGAGTGTGTCGGGAGGTTTGTGTGTCTATTCATTTGCTCATCAACATCAATTTTCAAATTGAGCTCCTCACTCTTTCCAGGAGAGTTATTTGAGGAGCTCAATTTGAGCTCCTTGGCAAAACAAGGAGTGGGATTAATAGAGCTCCACCAAATTCTAGAAATGAAGGTCTGATAATTAGTTAGGAGACATACCACCCATCCCTGTAGCCATATCAATGTCCTGAAGTCAAAACATACAGGGGCCAGCTGTAAGTGCTACCAGATGGATTTTAGTAGATCAAGGAAAAAAATATTCCTGAGCCCCTCTGTATTTTGAATGCTGTCATTTATGCCACCATTTCTCATTCTAATGATGATTATATCTGCACCCCACAGAAACCACCATCGAACGAGGTGACTAAGTCTGCTGCCAGTGCTGACAATCCAGCAGGACCAGAGGAGGAGGAAGAAGATGAAGAAGAGAGTCTGAGACTTCTCAGACTAGCTGCTCTGAAAAGCAAAAAGGAAGATTCAATAAGCCATGTAAGTAACATCACAGTTGTCTTTGCAAAAAAAAGGGGAAAAATATTCTGTAGCTTCTTAGATCATACCAGATTCACATTGTATCAACATCATGAAATGAGAAGTCATTAATATTGAAGTTAAGTAGCAGACAGGTTGGCTACTGTTAATTTAGTGTGAAATATGAAAGTTTTACCAATCATTTGTATTTTTATGTTTGTATTTATATGTTTATATTTATCATGAAAACGCAACAGGCACCCATTGATATTGTTCATGTATTTGTAAAGTTATTATTAAAGGTAAAGACCAGTATTGGAAACGCCCAATTTCAAAAAATGAAATGGAAGCTCTCATTACCAATCATGTGAAAGAATATGTTTTGACTAATACATGATGATAAAAAATTTGCCGGGAAACCGCCTACTAATTCATATATTTGGTAAATTTGTTTCTCTCATGGTCTGTGAGAGATATAGGGTAGTCCCATATACATCTTTCTGTGTATAGTGCTTGTAACTTTACGAAGAATGGGCCAAATTTCTTATCATTTTGATGATTCCAGAACCTTGCAGATGCTAGATGCTAGATGATCAACCTTTTCTGATCGATTCCACAACGTTTCTTTCACAATGCAATCGCATGACCATAACTGGTCTTTACCTTTAAAGTGTTTTTTTTAACATAGAGCCGTATTAGTTCACATATTTTGCCCCATGAATAATGGGAACCCAGTCCTGTTATATCAAACAAATTTAGTCATTCTAAATTCCTAATATTGGCCTCAACTCCTGTAAATGACCATCTCTGATCTGAAATGTTTTTTTCCCTTTTGCTTGTAGGTTTCTACACCAGTCCCAGGATCTCCTGCCCAGCCGCCCAACAATCCACCACAGGGGCTCCCTCTACAGCCTGATCCTCTCCAGCAGGCAGAGGCAGGAGGGAGAAGCAATCTCATTACCATACCTCTCCAGGATACCACTGCTCCCCTCCAGCCTGCCTCTGGCATCAACAGTGCGGAGGACAGCGGGGTCAAGGAAGAACGCAGCACGAAGTTTAGCCGCTTTGAAAGCTCAGATTCTGAATCCGACTTGGACGAAGACATCTTGCTTCAGACGCCTAGTGACTCTGACAAAAGTGCTTTCAGTGCCTCGGGAAGTGAGAAGGAAGAGGATTCCGATGCTGATTCTTGGAGGACGCGATCGTTTAGTGAAGCTGAAAGCTCTTCCTCAGAAGTAGAAGCAGATAATGGCAAAAAGTCTCCTGAAGGTTTAAGCAGTAAGAACAGTGATGCAAGCGAAGGTGCTGAAAAAGATGCAAAAGGACGGAAAGAAATGATGAGTGGTAAAGGTGATCGCCAAGAAAAGGAAGAAAAGAAATCTGAGCGTGGAACAAGAAAGGACAATGTTAGGGATTGTAGAGATGGGGATAGGAGAAATCATAGAGACAGAGGAGAAGTAAGACATTCAGATTTAAGATCTCGACTTGGGAATAAGCCTAAGGAACGAGACAGAAAAAGGGACAGGGATGTCCGTGACACAAGGGACAAGAGGGATGATTATCGTAGTAGAGATGGTGAAAGGGAAAAAAGGACAGAGGAGAGACGCAGACGGTTTGAATCACAAAGGGGAGAGAGAAGAAATTCCCCTGGAAGATCACAAAGACATGTGTCTGATCGCTCTAGGAGACCAGACATAGCAAAGGACAGTATTGATAAGAAAGCTTTTGAGGCAAGGAGGCAGAAGTTTGCTTCTGGGAGTAGTGTAAATTTGAAAGATAAGAAAGTGACACTCAAATCCTCAGAAAATGGTGCATACATTCCAGCGAACAAGAGTATCATAGGTGCAAGTGACTTAGATAAGAAGGAATCGCAAACAAGTGTGGAAGGAGAAAAACTACCCACCAAAGATAAACCACCCACAGAAGGAATTGAAAGTGATATTTCTTTGTCTAGCGTGGAATCTGAAGTTGAATCTGAATCGGACTCTGATGCTGGAGAGGAAGATAAGAAAGAGAGTGAATCAGAGTCAGAATCGGGTTCCGATGAAGAGGTCACTCGTTTCAAGCGCACTTCCACGAAAAGTGATAACAAAGTATCATTGCTAGCACCTACACAGTCTCGCCTTATCACTTCAATGACTTTCCCTAAAGAAGGTCCACCGCCACTGCTTCCACGCAGAAGACCCAACGAAAATGACCGGAGTAGAGATCGCAGGGGACTGGATGACCTAGACAGATCCCGCAGGCCACTGGGATTTCGGGACCAGGGACGGGAACGCGACAGACGAGATCGCCTTCCAAGACACCTAGATAAGCAAGCGCAAAGCGGTAGTAGAGAGCCTAGAGACCGTTTAAGATTAGACACCCGCGAGTCAAGGAGGCATCCTCGAGATCCAAAGGACAAGCTTGATGAAAAAGATCTTGATAAGCAAAGGAAGCCTAGAACTAATGATGTGAATGAAAAAGATTTTGATAAGCCAATGAAGCCGAGAACTAATGATGTGAATGAAAAAGATTTTGATAAGCCAAGGAAGCCTAGAACTAATGATGTAAATGAAAGAGAACATAACATCAAAAAGAACCCCCGAGACATTGAAATGAATGAAAGAGTACCTGCTCGCAGAATTCCTAGAGACTCCAATTTAGATGAGAAAAGGAGCAGAGTCGTTGCAAGAGATGGTGATAGAACTTTGAATGAAAGAATACACCACCCTGAGCGTGACCCACACAGAAATCCTAGAGACGCAAATGTAGGAGAGAAATCGGAAAGAATAGTTCCGAGGGATGACAGGAAGGCTTTCAGCCGAAAGATTCCTTCGGCAAGAGACTTTGTTTCGGAAAGTTCGGACTCTGAAAGCGAAACGGCGAACCAGGCTTTGCGAAGTATAGTGAAAACTGACAAGGCTGAAGAAGATACCAAGATCAGTTTCAGGGACAGTGATAGATTACATAGACCAAAAGACATTCAAAAAGATGAACTAAAACAGAGGAGAGAGGAACTAAAACAGAGGAGAGAGGAACTTAAACAGAGGAAAGATGAACTAAAAGAGAGGAAAGACTCCAAGAGAGACAGGGGAACAAAAGAGAAGAAATCAAAGCATAAGCGTGATGTAAAGGAAAGAATAGGCAAAAGAAAACGAGATGTGGTAGAACGTGAGAGGTCAGACGATGAGCCTGCCAAATTGGACTCTTTTAGAGTCACTGTTTCTGAAGGTAGGAGCATAATGTTTTCTATGTTTTCTAATACAATCTAGTGTTACCCTAAATCTTACATCCTACTGTTGATAAATCTTTATCCTGTGTGAATCTAGATAATTTGAAATCAGAACGTAAACCTCCATGCTGAAATAGCCTTTCTTGTAAATGTGGACCAAAAAGTGAATTACTTAATCTGGCTTTTTTGTTTAGCAGGGGGTGTTTCATAAAGCTGTTCGTAAAGTTATGCTTGACTTTACAAACGACTTGTATATGAAGTGCCAGATAGGATGTCCAAAGTTTGTCCTGATGTTTTTACAAAGAGTGATTATATTTCCAATAATCTCAATAAAATTATGGCAAAAAAATATACTTTGCATTAAAAATGTTAGTTACAATAAGAATGTTAATCTACATCTGCACAGTTCAACTTTAGCTGATGCAGTCAAAAATGATTGAACATCCCATTTGGCTTTTCATATTTAATTCATTTGTAAAGTCCTGTGTAAGTTTACGAACAGCTTTGTGAAACACCCCCTGGACAACTTTGTATTACCAGTTGAGTGCTGTATTCACTTTTGTCAATTCAAAGTTTTGATATTTACTGCAGGGCTCGAATTACCCACCGGCAATCGGCAATTTGCCGCCATGCCCCTCTCACTGGCCGGAATGCCCTTTTCAAAATCGAACCGTTTACGGCCACAATATTTTAATCCACAAAAGTTTTGCCGACATTATAGTCATCGTAAGCCAACTCGACTTGTAATGTTCAAAAAGGTTTTGTTGCCCATACGGAGCTCTAAAAACAATGATAGTCGGCAAGGTTTTGTTGCCCCTCCGGAGCTCTAAAAACAATGATAGTCGGCAAGGTTTTGTTGCCCCTACGGAGCTCTAAAAACAATAATTACCGGAAGGTTTTGTTGCCCCTCCGGACCTCTAAAAACAATGATAGTCGGCAAGGTTTTGTTGCCCCTCCGGAGCTCTAAAAACAATAATAGTCGGCAAGGTTTTGTTGCCCCTCCGGAGCTCTAAAAACAATATTTATCGGCAAGGTTTTGTTGCACCTCCGGAGCTCTAAAAACAATAATTACGGGAAGGTTTTGTTGCCCCTCCGGACCTCTAAAAACAATGATAGTCGGCAAGGTTTTGTTGCCCCTCCGGAGCTCTAAAAACAATATTTATCGGCAAGGTTTTGTTGCACCTCCGGAGCTCTAAAAACAATAATTACCGGAAGGTTTTGTTGCCCCTCCGGAGCTCTAAAAACAATAATAGTCGGCAAGGTTTTGTTGCCCCTCCGGAGCTCTAAAAACAATATTTATCGGCAAGGTTTTGTTGCCCCTCCGGAGCTCTAAAAACAATAATTAACGGAAGGTTTTGTTGCCCCTCCGGAGCTCTAAAAACAATGATAGTCGGCAAGGTTTTGTTGCCCCTCCGAGGCTCTACAAACAATAATTATCGGAAGGTTTTGTTGCCCCTCCGGAGCTCTAAAAACAATGATAAGTCGGCAAGGTTTTGTTGCCCCTCCGAGGCTCTAAAAACAATAATTATCGGAAGGTTTTGTTGCCCCTCCGGAGCTCTAAAAACAATAATTACCGGAAGGTTTTGTTGCCCCTACGGAGCTCTAAAAACAATTATAGTCGGCAAGGTTTTGTTGCCCCTCCGGAGCTCTAAAAACAATAATTACCGGTAGGTTTTGTTGCCCCTCCGGAGCTCTAAAAACAATAGTTACCGCACTGCAAAAACAGTGGTGTTAAATTCAACACCATAGGTGTTAATATTAACACCATTCCGGTATCTATATCGGAAAACACCAGTTGGTGTTATTTAACACCAAGGTCTGGATTTGAATGATTCAATTCTACTCTTGGTGTTGCAATTCAATTCTATTTTTGGTGTTAATATAAAATCCTACACCATTTTCTGGTGTAACAATGAATCTGATTTCTGGTGTTATTTAACACCACCGCCTGGAATGAAATAATTTTAATTCTACTCTTGGTGTTGCACTTCAATTCTATTGTTGGTGTTATTTTACACCAATTCTAGAATTAAATAGTATAATTCTGCTCTTGGTGTTGCAATCCAATTCTATTTATGGTGTTAATATAAAATCCAGCACCATTCTTCGGTGTTGCAATAAATCCTATTTTTGGTGTTATATAACACTAAAGGTCTACTACTTTTCTACTCTTGGTATTGCAATTCAATGCTAGTCTCAGTGTTTAAAAAACTCAACACACCATTCTTTCAACACCAACAATTCATTCCAGCTCACTCCATCTTAACACATGCACAGAAAATATTCAAATACACACAAGAAGTGAAAAGAAACAATTTTTTTTCGTAAACAAAAACACATGGTGCTTGTTTAATCAATAAATTAAACAACTTGTTTTCATTCATGTTGAAATCAATGATGCTTAGCGTTTTTATCTTGTATGGTTCAACATTAAATCCTTTTGTCATGTATTCAAAATCTGTGACTCATTTGTCTGAATACAACAAAACACACTTTTTTAAATCATTCAAAATCTGTTATTATGAATCCACCCTTATAAGTAAAAAAAAAAAGGATGAAACAAGTAACTAAAAATCATTCAAAATCTGTTATTATGAATCCACCCTTATAAGTAAAAAAAAAAAAGGATGAAACAAGTAACTAAAAATTTTCCAATATAAAAACTTTAAACAATGTCATAATTCCTTTCAAGGAATGAAAAATCAAAGTCGTTTCTAATAAATAGAAACTAAACAGGATGCAAAATGCATGTATAAATGAAGACAAAACAAAAAAAACAACAAACATTATGCTTCTACATCAGAGTGAATTATGTAGCTAATAAGAATTTTGACACATTTCACCTTGAATCCTAGTACATGCATGCTGAAGGAAAATATCACAGAATCTTTTTCATATGAAATATACAGAGTGCCCCCCCCCCCAAAAAAAAACCTTGGAAACTGCTAGTATAATCTGCAGGCAGACTCTCGGCTTCGGTTTTTCGCAAGTTTCGTAGTGCATATTTCAGAGTCTGCAGTCAGAGACTACTTTCACTCATATCATGATCCCTTAAAGGGAGCATAACTGTATGTGTATATGTAGTCTCTAAATGCAGACTCTACATCGTGCACTATGCAAATTGCAAAACCGAAGCCAATGGTCTGTGCCCGCAGACTAATTATAGTATGACTTTAATTTCTTATGCTAGAACAATAGCAACACTAACAAATCTCATCCAGCAGTTTTGTTGAACAAGATTTTTTTACCACAGGCCTGCAACCATTGAGATTCAGGATGATTTAATTATTTCAGGGGATTTTTATCTCCTAGCTTCACTGCTTGTAAAGGGTTAAACAAATGTTTCAAAAACATTGAAAAAACACTATAAATTCTACATTCATTCTAATATAGGTGAACATTCTTTTACAGCTTTCTGTTTACAAACATATTCCATTTTACATCGTGCACTATGCAAATTGCAAAACCGAAGCCAATGGTCTGTGCTCGCAGACTAATTATAGTAAGGCTTTTTAATGTCTTATGCTAGGAAGCAGCCTTCAAGAACAATAGCAAAACTAACAAATCTTATCCAGCAGTTTTGTTTAACAAGATTTTTTTTTACCACAGGCCTGCAACCATTGAGATTCAGGATGATTTAATTATTTCAGGGGATTTTTATCTCCTTCACTGCTTGTAAAGGGTTAAACAAATGTTTCAAAAACATTAAAAAAACACTATAAATTCCACATTCATTCTAATATAGGTGAACATTCTTTTACAGCTTTCTGTTTACAAACATGTATTTCCCATTTTACTCCTGGGAGAAAAAATCAAAAAGTAAAATTATGCATTTCTATATCAACTAATTCGCTGCTCGTTTTTCCAACAGGATATAAACAACAACAACAAAAATCAGTCCATGCACTTCTAGTTCACTGGCTTTCATGCACAAACATCATAGAATTGTTTTTCTTGTAAGAAAAAAAAAGAAAATATACAACAGCTATTTGACTTCAATTTGGTTTCGAATTAACCAATTTAAAGATGTTAACAATTAAGAGTCCAAAATATTATTGATCAAAATTATTTTTAAAACCAATTGATACCACTAAGCAAAACCAGACATTAGCTTGAAAGCTTTAAATTACTTAAAAAGTACATGCCTTGGTGCTACATACTTCCTCGAGTCTGTCTTCGACAAAGTTGTCATCAAATCTAGTGGTTTGTAGTCAACAAGTTCCTTTTGATTCTTCACTACATGACAACGTGGAAAACTAAATTCTACTGCATAGGCATGATAGTGTGAATTGTAATACACTGTATCTAATTGGACAAGTACAAAAAATACAGTGCTATTGTGTACAATGATATGCTCTATTTGACCAAACAGAGGAAGCTCGCTAACATCATGGCAGACCAGAAGTGACAACTGATAATGTGTTCCATGTACTTTAACCCAGTTGGCATCAAATAATTCAGTAGAAAGATCCTCTACTTGGATTTGCTCTTGCACAATCTGTCCAATATTTTCATCTAAATCTGACAAAAGTAGTGAACTACCTGGCCCAACCTCCAGATATTCCAAAGGATGGTTTGACTGAAGATGGAACGTTAGTGCTGTCTGATGTTTTTTGGCAAGTGATTTACAAATGTTTTTGTAATTACGCACAGATTCTGCAACACGGCCAAAATAGTGATGTTTCGCTTCGTACCTCATACACCATACATGTATGAGTGGCCCAACTTCTCTCAAACACGTTGGATAATGCACCATAAAGTGGTGTTTTGGCAACAACCTTCTGTCAGGAAAGGTTTTCTGGAAATGTGTGTGATGTTCTTCAGTAAGAATAGACAATTGGGCTATCAAGCCTGCTGTCAATTGAGGAGCAAAAATAATGTCCATACAATCTAGTAATCTAAGTAGCAATTCCCAGTAGACATTTCCTTCTTCAATGTCTTGAGCAATTATGAATGGCAGATTTCGAATCAAGCACCATGCTTGCATAGCCTTCTGTCC